AGTAGGATCACCAAAACACATCCAACTGGCGGTTTCCTTTATGGACCATGGGTTCATTCCCAACACCCAAGGAAGGTCATTCCCTACCGACTTCGCATCGATCGTAAGACCTACTGTGGATGGATACGAAATCCATGCCCCGCACCACCGTTCAGAAACCCTGAAATGTTGGAGAACCCCTGTAAATACCAACAAACAATGTGTCAACCATGGTTTCTTAGGTGGTGCGAAATGGATTTCGCCCGTTCACAATAAGATCACCCCAACATGGTGCAACGGTTCTCCATGGACGGGTTCTGGGATAGGGGACCCCGAAATGGCGCAACGATTTCCTTGTAGTTTCCCTTTGAAGCCACAAAAAGGGGGGGGGTAGCCACCCCCCAGGTGTCCCCAAAACCGAGCCCCGCATCCGTCCTCACAGCCCACGCGCGCCCTCCACTGCATGTCTCCCTGGCACGTTGGCCGTGGCCCCAGGTGGACAGATAGAACATCTCACAGATCTTAGGCACGCCCTTCAATTCAAAAACTACTAAAACTAAAAAGTTCCCACAAACATCCTGAAAATGATATTCTAAACTTGCGCGTGTCCTCAAAGTGCTTAATCTGAAGATCTTGAAAATGAGCCATGTCCTCAGAATTGTCCGAGGCCGAGAAAGTGGTTGTTGTACGTTGCTCACTCCCCTTGGCAACCGGGCAAGAGGAATGAAATGCAGATGCAACATGGGCGCACAGCGAGAAAATGGTACGAGTCATTTGGCGACACTTTCGGCACTGGCGCTAGCGGGCTCTCGCGTGGACAGAAGAGGGACACCACCGGCGCGCGCAGCTGCGGTACGGGAGGGAGATGTTCATGAGCGGGCTGCGAGGGTCAACACCGTTGCAGCAGAGGTCAACGAGCAACATGATCACCATACAGCGGCATGGGTCCGGGAACCTTGTCAAATGATGTAGGTCGGGATGATGAGGCGCCATACTTTGGCAGTTCGGGCTGCGATAGGTCCTGACGCAACCCACCACAATCTCTCGGTGGATCCGAGCGCCCGCGCTCTTTTATGATCGTCATGTCTGTCGTCTCTGCGACCACCTTGGCGATCGTCCCTGCGTTCGCCGGCTGTTCATCATCCTCGTCAGAGAGTTCAACTCTATGAGTGCGGGTCAAACTGAGACTTCCCGCACTCCGGCGATTATCTTGGGCATGATCTGGCGCCCTTTCGATTGCTCTTCGCCTAGTTCATTTAACCCTGGGCGTGGATGACAGGTTGAGGTCGTAGGAGACCGGGAATCATGTTCCCGTAGCCATCATCAAATTCCGCGATCCATGATGAAGTGAAAAGGGTTGCACGTCTACCGCCTCGCGCCCTATCAAGCTTGGACCGGACTTCGGCCCTCGCTTCAGTCAGCCCGCCTTTGGCACTCCGCGGCCATTTTCATCATCTTCACGAACTATTGCCAGAGCTCAGCAGGAAGTCATCGCGCGGCGAGACAGCGAAAGAAAGCTCCTCCAGCACATATCCGAAATCTATGGACTTCGATCCCTCAAAGTTGGCGGAGCGACTGCACCTATACACTACACACATACATTACACAGACCACACCACACCACGCCGTAGCATACCACAACATACATTATATTACATTGTGTTGTATTTCGTTAAACTATCATCGCATGACAATACGTCACACTACATCACCTTTGCACTTACATACATTGCAAGCGATTACACACATGGCACACATCACATATGTTACATTCACTACACGCATTGCACACATTCATACATTACATTATCATACTTATCATACATTCCGTCACATTCCAGTAGAGCCGGTAAGATACTACCCTCTGTTCAACAATCAAAGAAGCAGGTCTTGAAAACTGATCATCATCATTATTGTTTTTTGCTTATTTATTGTTATTTAAACAAAAACAAAACAAAAAACTTCCGCCCGGTCCACTTCCATGATTAGAGAGAGGGTTTGGAGATCGCAACCCCGAACAAAACCCCGTCGGAAAAACGACCAAGGTTGCCTGAGATGGACTCACTGGCTTTGCCAGTGCCATTGCAACGAGACAAAAGGTTCCACGTATGTCCGCGCTGAAGCATTGACTTCTGGCATCAAGATCTGAACTTCTGCTCGGGACTTCTGAAGGCTCGCTTGAGACGGGAAATGGCAGGAAAACGATGCGGCGGGATCAGAGCCTCAGCGACTTGCACCCTTGACGAACTAAAATAGAAGAGCAAGGCTACATTCTGTGGATGGACGAAATCCTGCACCACCCAAGAAACCCTGGATTTGTTTGATTCCCCTGTACATACCAACAAACAATGGTTTCACATGGTCTCAAAGTGGTGCAGGATTTCGTCCATCCACAGTTTGAGAGTGTCCTTCTCGCAACGGGAGCTTGCAGTTCGATTTCCCTGCAACCCGTTCCCGGCCAACCGAGACGGCAACGGGTGAAATTCGCTTGCTGAGTCAGCCCACGGTGGCACCCACGCATGGCCGTTCTTTCCATCGCGATGGATCCGTTCTTTCCATCCGGATTCTCGAAACCACCAAGCAGGGATAGAATTATCTGGTCTCTTGGAATCAAATTCCAACCCCTGGAGTCAAGAGATATCTGGAAAAAGAGGGCCCCTTTCAAGGGCATCTCTGGGCTCCAAAGTGGCCTGGAATTCGCTTGGAACAAGCCATTTCGTCGGGGTCTGCTAAAATCGGCTAACCATTCTTGGGTTGGTGTTTGAAGGTATGTCAGACATAGCGCAATCCCCAAAACGAGTGGGTTCCTGTTGGTTTCCATTTCAACCAACCTCCAAAAAAGGGTCCCTTAAAAATAACGCACCCTGGCAGGTCTAATTTCGCTATGTCAAACCACTCAAGCGGAGACCTGAAAAAAAAGAAGAAGAAAAAAAAAGAGAAGAAAAAACGCGGCGCGCTCAGCGCCAAAGAGAGCTTTTTTCACACAGGGCCCCCACCTCCTTGAGTCAGGCCAACGCCAGCACTAACTGTATGCGGACGCGAACACGACGCGTGTCAAAGGGCTGTCCTTTTTCGAGGAAGCCTTAAAGGAACCACCGCCACGGTTGAGGTTTTTCAAAAAATGAAGAAGCCTCCTGGGTGCAGGTTTTGGCGGATGCTTTGCTTGCATAGCTTGGCACCTCCAACAAAGATCCACTACACTTTCGAGGAGGGGGAAACCATGTAGAGTATGGTACACACATAGAGCCTGTGTTGGAAGCACCTTCAGGGCATTGTTGTTGCCACCAATCAGGCAGCCGCAAGTGGGCCAGACTCAGACCCGCTGCAAAAAAACGTGCGAACAAAAGAGCTGAATGTCAAAAGATGAGCTAAGTCTGGCAATACAAAACTTCCCCCCCTACAAATTCACGTGGAAGCCCCCAAAACCATGTCGGAGGAATCTTGTCTTGGGGGAACCCTTTTTTGGGTTCCGCGTCAATTTGCAAGAGAGTAATGCTTTGGATTCACAAACATTTTTTCCAGAACTGGCAGGCCACAAGGTCCACAAGTCAGCAGGCAAGTAACAATCAATACGGGGATGTGTTTAACGGGAAACCAAAAGGAAAACCGAAGCCATAGTGCGAAACCAAAAGGAAAACCGTTGCGCCATGGTGAGGGTCATATGGAAATCAAATACAGGAAGATCTTGCAACCCCTCGAACTATTTCCAGGCGCTTGTCAGGGGAATCCTCCGACATCCCTGCGCCCCTCATTTCCCTGCTTGGTTTCTCTGACTTTGACGCATATGCCCATGCGATGCAGGAAGTGGCTAGCATTAGAGTCTCGTCAGAGAAAACCAATCCATAAATGGCAAAGTGAATTAAGTCCCTTCGCCAAATTTCGGACAATGTGGGTATTCGTCATGCTTAGACCCCCACAATGATTCGGTTGTTTTCCCCTTTAAACAACCCAAAAGTTGGTCAAGTCACGTCATTTAAGGACCGCCCTGGACAGCGTCTTTGGCGCTTGCCCCGGAGCACTCGTGGCTCAGCCGGGGCAGCAGAGAGGTTCTGCCGACCGATTGGGATCGGTGGGGCTCCAAAAGAGCGCCAAGCCCCAGAAAAATGCGCGATGCCTCCCAAGAAGGTAGACCCTCCGACTAGGTGTCCGAATTTAAAACTTAGGTTGTCCTCTAAGACAAGCACCTGAAAAAACGTGCCCTTGCAAAAAAGCACACACATGTAAGGTGAAGGTTCTCGGGTATTGCTCACTATTGGAAAGAGCCCCCTAAGAAAAGAACAGCATGTTGCGGGTCTGCGGGTGACTTTGTTCAACATGGCCGGGGATCCATAATACTAAGTCAGTAATCCGTTGTGGGGCACCACTACAACAAGAGAACCCACTACCATCTGGCATCGGTAAATCATTCAGTTCACAGATCCCTGGTAAGCGGCCTCCGGCGGAGATGCGCCCTACTGAATTGACGCAAGTTGCCAGCGGACAAAGCAAGAGCCTGAAGCAACACCTTGCCCAACCCAACTTGACCTAGTTCCCTTTTGCAGTGGCTGGCTGCACTCATGGTTGCAACCAACAAAGCCCTGCCGAGCGCAAGCCTTGCACCTCCGCCATCCAAAACCAGCATGCATCCATACGGAGTCGCACTCAACGCCTCTCCGAAGTGAGGATTCCCTTAGCCACTTACCTGAAGGACACAGGAAACAGAACCAATCCCCGACTGACCAAAGACCATGGACGGTCCAATCAAGTGGACGGACCACAAAAGCTGAACAGGTCTGGCCCTGAAATCATGAGGACATCGGCCACAAAAAGTTTCAAGGTGGCCATTTGGCTCAAAACATGGAATCCCCAAAATGGCAACTTGGTAATTACATGGAAACTCAGGCTAAAACACGCGTAACCCCAGGCTCTGAATTTGTTTGAGCAAGAGGAAAGCCAATGCGTCTGTCTTTCTTCAGGGGGCCCCAAGTCCTGTTGGTTTCCCTTCAAACCAACCCCAAACCAGGTACCCGTTAAAAACCAGGATGCGTACCCCAACGGCGTTGAGCACTTGCAGCGAATTCACTGAGCTCTGCAGCTCAAAGCTGTCGCGAGTCCGCACACCTGAGCCAGGCAGCCAGGCGGGAGGTCTGGTTTGTGCGGAGAGGTGTGTCCTTCTTTCGACTATCATGGAACAGGGGTTACACCTGAGCATTGCCTTGTCAATGGTGGTGTCCCCTTATTTTGGTGGGAAAAGCCATGTTTCAAATTTGGGCAAAATGTATCTTTTAAGGAGCCCTGTGGAAATTAGCCATGATAGCCACAGAAACCAGGAGCTTGGGCGGGAGAACTTCCTGGAGAACTTCCTGGAGATGGTTGGAGCTGCGAACTTCCTGCGAACTTCCTGCAAATGGTTGCTGAGAAACCCAGCTTTGCAAGGGTCACCCTTCCTTCCACTATGGCACCTGTGGGACGACGCGGGGGCGTATTCACGACTCACCGTGGCAACTGCACCGCTCGAGTGCGGCCGCTATTACCCCAACAATTTTCGCAATATCCACTACTACCTTCTCCCTGTGGGAGGGGACCTGAAAGATCCGTTTCCTCTTGAAACGACCTGGTGACATGTCAGTGGGAGAGAGGTTACTTAAAAAGACCTAGACCCGATCGGCGAGAAATCAACCCAAGGCATCTGCGTCGTCCCACAGCGGTAAGGCCCACACGCGTCGATCAGCGGATCGGCGAGCGGAACGCTCTTTAGCGTCCCAAGCGAGCCTGTGGCTCAAGACTGCCTCCCTCTTCCCAACTTTCGAAGTTGACAGGAGGCCACAGTCTATGTATTGATAGATAATACATTAGGGCTTGCCTCTACCAATAAATTGCATGCCTTCTTTACGCGGGCAAGGAGGGGCTGTACAGGCTTTCCGACTCGGCAACATTTACCATAATTTTGCGGAACGCTCACCCCCAATTTTGTGGGTTAGTTACCCCCAATGTTGTCCAATTTTGTTGGTTATTTACCCCCAATTTTGTTGGTTATTTGCCCCCAATTTTGTCGGTATTTTACCCCCAATTGTGTGGGTTATTTACCCCCAATTTTGTTGGTTCTTTACCCACCCCAATTTTGTTGGTAATTTACCCCCAATTTTGTGGCAATTTATCCCAAGTTTGGGACTCGTTATTAACCCCCAATTTTGAAAATTGGGGGTTAATAACCACAAAATTGGGGGCAAATTACCCACACGATTGGGGGTAAATAACCCAGACAATTGGGGGTAAATTACCGACAAAATTGGGGGTAAATAACCAACAAAATTGGGGGTAAACAACCAACCAAATTGGACACAATTGTGGGTACAAAATTGGGGGTAAATTACCGACAAAATTAGGGGTAAATAACCAACAAAATTGGGGGTAAATAACCAACAAACTTGGACAAAATTGGGGGTAAATAACCCACACAACTGGGGTGAAATTTGAGGTAAATTGGTGGTAAAGAGTTACTGCTACAGGCAAGGCTTAAATAATACATACATATCATACATATCTTTATCTATATCTATGTCTATATCTATATCTATATCTATATCTATGTCTATATCTATATCTATATCTATCTATGTATGTATATATGTATACACATATGCCTTGTAGATTGACCTACTGTGGATGGACGAAATCCTGCACCACCTAAGAAACCTTGGCAATGATGATTCCCCTGTAAATACCAACCAACAATGGTTCCCCATTGTTTCTTGGGTGGTGCAGGATTTTGTCCATCCACAGTATGTACATACATATCTATATATATATATATATGTACATATGACTTGTAGATTGACCTATGTACATATATATATATATATATATTATATATATATAACGCAGCACACTCCGCCACTGCGAGTTGGAAGCCCAGCACGCCGGACCCAAAAACCCGGCGCCCAACTCCCAGCGGCGCAAGGGGGGTTTGGAGGCGAAGGGGGGAACCTTGAGACGGTTTTTTGGCGGTTTTGAGGCGGTTTTTGGCGGTGTTGTTGTTTCTTTTGCCTTCTTCCTCTCTTTTTTTTTTTGGGGGGGGGGTCGAGACTTGTTGGAGTATTGTTGGGGGCTGTTTGAAGTATTATTATTTACTTCATTATTGTTCTATCTATATTTAATTGTTGTTGTTGTTGTTGTTTTTTGGGGGGGGCGGATTTGTTGGAGTATTTTTCTTGCTGGAGGCGGTGTCTTCTTCTTTCTCTTTTTTTTGGAGAAAAGGGGAACAAAACCGAAGCCCGAGGAGTCTGTGGGGTCCAAATGCCGATGACACCGTCGCTAAGGCGCAGGCACGATGAAATCCCGAAATCTCCTGCACGAATCTCCCGCGCACGCCCAGCCAGCTGTCAACATGCCCCTGTGTGTGTGTGTGTGTGTGTGTGGAAATTAAATGGCATGCCTCATTTTAGGGACAGCTACCAATCGTTTTTTGTCGGGAAACCCATCCATTTGCGGGCCTTTGTTCTTTTGTTACTTGAACTTGCCCATGCCTGAGGCGTACTGCTCTCTTGTTGCCATGGTTGAACGGCGTTACCGGCAGGCCATTGTGCAAAAACGGAAAAAGCAAACGCAAACCACACAGAACGGCACGTTGCCAGCAGAATCCGGGGCGGGGGGAACGGGGATGGGTTGGGGGGGGCAGGGAACGTGCACGTTCTCTCAGACCACGTCTGTCTGGTGGGCAGTTGGTCCTCTCCAAACAGGCATGTGGCTGTGGCCATGATGTGTACTTGGGAACCTCCCAAGTTAAAGGGAGCCCAAACTGAGCTGAGTTTACATGGCTTAGGGTCAGAAAACAAAGGCTGTGCCTCAAAGGAGGCATTTCGACCACATCGCAGCTGGGTTGTACGCAAATCGGGGTGCGGTTGAATGTGGCTGGTTCACTTGCAATACTTAGCAAATCAACGGTAGGGTTCATGAGAAAGCTGGTTTGGGCAACTCGCATCCCTCCATGCTTCCCACTGCAGGGCCATTGTCTCAAGTTCGCCCGCTGCCTCCCTCTAACCTCAGCTGTATCTAAGGAGGTTGAACACTTTTGGTTGCCACGGATGGCAGCCTCCCAACTTCAGGCCGGGTCAATATGTGTCCTTTGTACCCCCGGCGACAAACTGCTCGCTTCGAGGTGCGAGGCAGGCGCACCTCTTGAAAACATTGCCGCCATTGCTCCTCCGTGAGGTCAGGCTCCTTCCCGTCACATCTCGCCGAGTCGAAAGACTAACCGGCCCCGAGTTCCACGGGCGAATGCTTTGACATGTTCAGACCGTTTAAGCGAACCTCAGCATTGCAGGTTTGGTTGAATAAAGGCGTTCCGACAAGGACAAGAACTGAGAACCTCAAAGTGACTTGTCTGCGAAGGAATCCAGATTGCAGACGTAACGCTTTCGCAACATCAAGTAGGGATTTCATGGCAGGTGTAAGTACTTTCGCGAGATCAGGCCAGATTTCGCGGCAGGCGCAGTACTTTCGCGAGATCAGGTGCAGAATTTGTGGTGGTGATGGTGGTGGTGGTGGTGCTGCTGCTGCTGGTGGTGGTGGTGGTGCTGCTGCTGCTGCTGCTGCTGCTGGTGGTGGTGGTGGTGGCGGCGGCGGCGGGGCGTGGGGTGTCGCTGGGGCTGGGTGAAGACCAGAAATGACAAACATAAGTTGGCAATGTCGGCGCGTCCAGAATTGTTCAGAGCAAAAAAAAAAACAGTATTAGGTACCCCTTTTAATTTTCATTTTTGGGGGGAGAGAAGAACTTTGGACTTGTTTCTGGTTTTTGCTACGCTTTTGATGAATCGGGCACGGAAGAAAACAAATATGCTACCTCTTCATCCCCGGGAAACGGGTGCAGGAAAGAACCGCTGACTTTCGACCATGGTTCTAGGCTGGAATTAGGAACCCAGCAAAGAATTGTCTTTTTTGCCTGGCTAGTGGAAAACAAGGGGACCCCAAAAAAGTAAAAATCAAAAAGGGGAGCTAATTCTGGGGAAGGGCACATGTGACCCGTCCTGATTCAGGGCTGTGGGGAATGACCACTTCTGTGATACAACAGAAAGGGCTCCCCAAAGACTATTTTGTTCATATAAAGGGGGATTCCCTATCACAGAAGTGGGGAGAAACCCCGAGTGATCCCACAACCCTTGTCCTGATCAAACTCCAAGGTGATGTAGCCAGGCGCCACCACCTGCGTTCCCAGCCAACGAAGCTCACGGAAAGAGCCGGCATCAGACATGGGCAACGGAGAAAACACGGCGGCGAGCGGAGTGGATTTGAGGGAAGCAAAAAACAAAAAAAATAGGATTTAGGGACAAATATTAGGGACTGATCCGATTTAGCGAAGCTGACTTTTTTGGGATTTAGGAGCCAGAAAGGAAACATGAGCAAAGATAGAGTGCCCCAGTCTGGACCCGTTCCGATCTCCCTCTTTTGAATGGACTGCAGGATTCGCCCAGACGGCAAGACGAGTGTCTCAAGTCAATCCAAACCATGCCCCGGACTAGTGAGACCTTGGTGGATTCATAGGGGATGACCCCATGACTTTTGAAGTGGAACTGTGAATAGCAGGGTGCATGGCGAAAAAGTCGTCCAAGGGAGAGTAAGGCAAACCTCGTAATCTACTTGTCTACCGCCTTTGGCCAGCATCGCTCTGTGGTTTGACGTGGTTGGTCCATTGCTTTGTGCTCTTGTTCATATTGTTCTGCAAACGTTTGCCAGTCACTGGGCAAACATGAGTTTTATTTACAAAAGGTGAAACGATTCAAAGGTCGCAACAATGAGCCACTCTTATGTTCCCGTGCTCGCTACGAGAACTTGCATATCTTCTCTTTCCTTTTTCTGGGCAAATCATTCTCCCCGACGCGCCACCAGACCCAGCCGGACCTCCTTGCTCACATTCCGGATCTCGCTGAAGATACCATGGGTCAAGGCCTCGCGCGTGAACCGCGCTCATAGCACAGAACCCCGTCCGTCAACAGGCCGCATACAAAAACAAAAGCAAAAACAACGGTACGTGGCAGGAAGCCTTCTGCAAAAAGCACACAGGAATCCACACCCCCAGATTGATCGTTTCATGGCTTCCTTTGCACACCCCCAGATTGATCGTTTCATAGCTTCCTTTGTTCGAAATGCAACGGTACCGAAACGGGGTCCAATTTCTCGCTCTGAGAAACGTCCTCTGGCTGTGGGTAAATAGGGTACCCAAAATGGCTTGCCATGGTAAATGGAAACATGGACCAAAACCTGCGGTCCCCAGGAGGCGCCCAGACAGCCCCAGGTGCCTCCTCGGCGCTGGCACGCTCATTGGGGTTGAAGCGCAGCAGCTGCTCGATCACGTCCACCTATGGCTGGGATTGTGCTGTTGCTGTTGTTTTTGCTTGTTTTTTCCTTTTTTTTCTTTTTATTTTTTTCCAGAGTTGCGTGAGGCTGCCCCTTTTCACCCTGGTTTAAAGGGAAACCAAAAGGAAAACCGTCACTTGGGGGGGGTCTGCTAAAAAAATGACAGCCACAGGACATATTCGCCGATCGTCCCGTGGCTAAAGAAACTTATTGAGACGAAGTCCTGGAAATGGCTATGTTGTTACAATCGTAGACCCCAGGTAAGCCCCACTCAACACCCCTAAACCCATACAACTAGGGTGACCAAGCACCTAGCTAATCCCAAGACCAGCAAAGTACCAGCAACTTTGCCCAAAAAAGAATTACGAGGTCGCTCGTGTGAAAAATGTGTCACACCTCCCGAAGTTGAGAACCCCTGCAGCTTTGATCTACCCTCCACTACCATAGGCCCTGGCTATCCCGGTCTGGACCACTGGACGCGAAGCCTACCCGGGGCCGCCGCGATGCCAGGGTTGGCGCTAGGTAAGCGAGGCTGGATCCCACTGCCGAGACCTGGGTCGTCAAAAGCGCTACACGCAACGGCTTGGCTGCCGATGAGAGCGAGGTTTCAGGTGACAGCCCTCTTTCATGGAATTTCAGGGGGAGTTATAGCGGGGGCCAACATTCTGGACTTCGGAAAGAAGGATCTCTGGAATGGGGAAGCTAAGCTACCACCGGATTGTTCTGTTGTTGTCCTTTTGCGGGGGGGCTGCTGAAATCGGAGGTGCGTTGTAAGTTCGTCCTCAGAATATCTGGGAGTGTGTTTTTCTAGTTGCCTTGACTTGGACTTCTGCTTGGTTGTGGCTTTGATTCGCTTCCAACGGAGCAAGAAATTCTCTCAGCGCAGCACGGGGATGGAAGCAGCGGATGTAGCTCCGCGCTTCCTGGACCCACGGGTCCCTGGGTCCCTCCCCGGCTGTGGCCCTTCTCAACCGCTGCACAGAACATGCGCAGGCGGAACAAAGATCGGTTCTTTCCCCCCCCCCCCAAAAAAAAAACAAGAGGAAACAAAAACGCGCAGCTTGCAGAGGGGAGAAAAAAGCGCCGCCGCCCACCGCCCCGCGAAATTGTGGCTGGCGGGGTTAAGCCTCACAATGCCTCGGGATGCTTCCACATCACTTGGGGTGTACGTCGGGGGCTTAGGAAGGTTGGCGGAAATTGACATGGGACTGTCGAACATTTTCCACATGAAATCCAAGGAGTTCGCGTTATACTATCCCATATGGGGGGATTGGGGGGATGGAAAAGGGGGCCCAGTTTTGACAACCCCAACATCTCGGTCAGACGAATCCGGGTCTGCACCCGGGGTGCGTGTCCAAAGCGGGGAACGCCTTTTCTCGGCGGGTCCACCCCCTGAGAACTATCCAAAAAAGAGGCCCCTCAATTTGGAAGACTCCCAAAACCCCCGCCCTTTCAGATGATTGGCAAGGGAAACTATCCATATCGTAATTATTGTTCTAGCGCACGCGTATATACGTATACATGGGTGAGTTCTAAAGTTGGCCACCCCTTAAAAAGCTGGGTCTCCCACGTTCCCCAAAAAAACACGCCGTCCCCACCGGCCCTCCCTTCGCCCTCCGTCCGCCCTTCCCCCGAAGGAAAACATGAGTCCTCCCGCAGCCGGGAGGTGTCAGCTTCCGAGGGAGTGCCGATCACCTCGGAAGCCAAGCTTTGGCTTTGGGGCCGACTTTGGGACCGCGGCCCGGCCCGTTGTCTTGTCCCAGAGGACAACAAAGGAAGCCACTCAGTTGCTTTTTGGGGGGTTACAGTGGCGCCATTTTGAGACAGCCCAAGCGGGGCTGTTTTTGAGGGTATCCTCCCTCTAACCATCAAAGCTGACGATCCCTTTGGGTTTTGGAAGACGAACTCTTTTCTTCCTGGGGAATCCACTTCCATGATTGTTGGAAAGAGGCTCCCCACCGGCTGTTTCATCCTGAAACCGGCCCAAGAACAACTCAGACGGCTTGTTGAGTGACCTTTGGCTGCTTGCTCGAGCCCATGTCTCAGACTCCCGCGGCTCCAAAAAAAAACACGAAACGAGTAATCCACTTGTTGGTGAGTGGGGCAATACGGATCCGGTTTCCCAAAGGGCGCCGAATTGCAGAGGTGTGTGTGTTCTGACAGCACCTGTTTGTGGGGCTGGTTGAAAGGGAATCCAATGGGAAGCCCTCGCATTTTGTTTGATGGTGTCCCCTGTTTTGGCACCGGGCTTGCACCACTTCGGTCCGTGAAATTTCTCGAACATCGCCCCGAAAACTCCTCGGCGTGTTGTCCTTGTTGTTCAACCTGTGGAACTGCGGCAGGAAATCGATGGAAGGGCCATTTTCGGGGAAGGGAGCTGGAACCAGGGTTGTCCAAAATATGGCTACAGTTCTTGACGTTCAGCGCTGCCGTTTTATCAGGGAGTCCAACAAGGGTGACCCACATACTTTTGCCCGCCTGACAAATGGCTACATATTGCGTTGGAAAACTGCCCTCCTTGATCACCCGTGAAACCCCCTTTTAGTGACAAAAACAACCATCTTGCGGGGCTTGCTCCGATTGGTACGGTGCAAACCGGAGCCCACCTGCTCAACTGTGTGTTGCGTCTGAGGGTTGGGACCGGATGGGGTTGAGGTTGAAGGGTTGAAGGGTTGAAGGGTTGAAGGGTTGAAGGGTTGAAGGGTTGGGTCATGTCTTGCCAGGGGGCCTTCCCCGCCGCAAACCACATTGTTTTGCTGAAAATGCGTGGGTTCCAGTGGTTGCGCCTTGAGGCGACAAAAGGGTTGAACTTTCACTGAAGCCGCGGCGCCACTGGAATGGAACAAAACTTGTCTCCCTCAACGGATTTGAGGGTTCCCACCCACCCATCCACCCACCCCCACCCATCCACCCCCACCCACCCACCCACCCACCCACCCACCCCTCCACCCCTCCACCCCTCCACCCCTCCACCACCCAGCCCACCCACTGAACGGGAGCCCACGCGTCGAAAATCACGTTCAGCTGCTCCTGGCAGCCCTCCGAGTGGAAGGCCACATCCTCAGCTTCCGTGCGACCACTTCGAGAGCCCAATCACCAGTTGCCCCTATGGGCGCGCGTCAAAAGGAGCGGGGAGAAAGTAAATGGGTGGGTGGATGGGTGGGTGGGGGGCGGGGGGCAAAACCCCAGAAATCGCGGTTTCCTCCTGAAGCATCCTTTTGGACCAATCTTAAAAAGGACCTTTCCGAGCCTCACAAGAGAAACGAGCCATTGAGCGGCCAGCACTCATTCGGAACAATCCTTGACCGCCCCAGACTTGGGATGTTGACCATGGCACATATCACTCCACCAGAAGCGGGGTGTAAGCGACAAGTGATGCCCGAAGCATCCCATGCTTTGGCAAGCAACCATGCTCGAAGCATCACAACGCGCCACAAAACAATGGAAACATACTGTGGATGGACGAAACCCGTTCGCACCACTCTGAAACCATGGTTGAAGCCATCACGTTTGTTGGTATTTCCCTTGGGGAATCATCAGAAACCTACAAGGCAACCTCCTCCTACACCTCCCCCTACACCTCCCCATAGCAACGGTCAAGTGGTTTCTTGGCTGTGAAACATGGGGGCAAAAACCCCCAAAAACAAAACTCGGTGCCCTCCCAGCTTGCAGCCGCTTCGTGGCGGCCGGATCGGGGGCTTCTTCCTTCTTCCCCCCACTGATGTGTAGCCTGGATATACCCATGACCACGTTTGCAGGCCATGTGGAAACATGTACACACATACGTATGTACATGTATATATATATATACAAACATATATATATATAGAGAGAGAGAGAGAGATTCAAATATATAAACATATATATATATATATGTGACAATGTGTACGTGTGTGTGTGCGAAGTGCTTTGTTTCAACTAAGGAAATTCTGGGGCATCCTCCCCCGCCGGTAGTTGCTTCCTGCTAGCTCTTCCGCCCAGATCGATCGGCGCGGCGCCTTCTTGTGTTTCCAGTCCGGCGACAGCGGGAAGCACGTGGACCCCGGGAAGAGCGGGCCGCGGTCCTGGATCGGAACATCAGCATCGATGCGCGATTCGGTGGGGTTTGGGAGGGAGTCCTTCGGCGTGGGCTGCGCGCCCCTGAAAAAGCCGGAGAAAGAGAAACGTCGCAACCCAAACGGGCTGGCTTTGCCAAAAAAAACGAGGCTGCTTTTTGCAACCCCCAAACCCAAGAATGAACAGAACCGAGAAAAAAGAAACGAAAACTTGGCAAGAACAATGAAGATAAGGCTCACCCATTAAAGGACCTTCACTATGGACCAAAACGGGAAAGCCAAAAGGTCAAAAGGTTGATGACCGCTTTGGGCAAAGCTTGGTCTCCATTTCGGAACGAACTTGGTGAGTTTCCTCCTGGCTTCCCTCAGCCAACCGGGCAACCCTCCAAAGAGACTCAAACTTGGCGAGGTTCCTCTTGCCTTCCCCTTCTAAAACCAACCGGAAAATGAAAAGTCCCAAAAATCTCCTCTGGTTTGTCAGACACGGAATCCTTCCAGTTCTTTCTTGGAGTAAACCAAAGGCCCGTATGGAAACCCAAAGGTTCCCCTGCCAAGCGAAGGTTTGGAGAGGTGGCTCTAGTCAGAATACCCTTTTTGAGGTTGGTTTAACGGGAAACCAAAGGGAAAGCCACCATCTGGTCTCCCTCAAAAGCCACAACGAAAAATGTATCCTCAAGAAAGGACACATCCGTATGTGCATGCACACCGCCAACTAGTGAGACCCCAAAAAAATCGGTTGATGGGTTTCCCGGTTTCCCTTTAAACCAACCCTGAGAAGGTACCAACCCTCAAAAAACTGCACACCCCCGTATGATCTCCATCTCTCCAAACCGCAAGCAGAAATTTAAGGCGTAAGGGGGGGGGGGGGGGTCTTTCCCTTTCGACCAGCAACAAGGTATCCTTCGCCTTCAAAAAAGAAATTGGGGGGCATGAAAAATGGGCGTCGGGCGGTCCTTGCGGTTCCCCTTTCAACCATCCCTACCAACCCCAAGTAAAGAAGTTGTTTGTCGGGAGTTCCTTTAGGTGTCCCTCTACAAAACTTTCATTTGGTTAAGACCCTGCAAAAAATGAAAAATGTCACGTAGTGATAGATTCCCTATAAAACCAACAGTAAAAAATGAAAACAATATTCCTCAGCAAATGGAAGAAAACATGGGATCCCGGCGCCCTTAGCTCTCACAGGGTTCGTTTTTTTCACTACCCCAAAGTCGACTTAAACCCAGTGGTTGATTTCCCCAAAAGGGAAACCCCTGGGTTCTATGTTTGGGTAGTCGAAAAACCAACAGGGCTTTTTCTTGACAAAAAATCTTAAGCAAATGGAGGCCAGGGTTCCTATAGTTCCCATGGTTACCAGGCCCCCCCAAAGAAAAAGATGGAGATGGACCCTTCGCTCTCATGGTCCTGCGCGGAGTAGGACTCCATCATCTCCGCCAACTCTACCGCGATGCACCCGGCCGACCACATGTCGATGGCCTCAGAACGGTGTGTCGTTTCTTTTTGGAACGGGACACCCAAAATAAAGGGGCAAAACGGTGGTTCCTTGTGGGTTTTAAAGGAAGGGAAACCACGAAACAAGAGTTGTCTCACAAAAAGGACAAATCCCGCATATACAATGGTTGAGAACGGCTGAAGGGGTTGGTGACGGCGGGTTCGCTCCATGCCACATCCCACTTGCCAAAGCGCCTGGTAGATCGCAGTAACACACTTCCTTTCCCCTTGGCAAATAGAACCAAACACTAGCCCATTCATTTTCAGCCACACCCATATGGCCATTGATTGAAATAAGCAACCCCTGGAAAATGGTTGGTGGACATAAAACCCCACCTAAATTGGATGTGGGTCAAAACTAATCCATCAGGGGACCGCGGGTTTTAATTTTAGTCCATGGGGCAACCCATTTTGGGGTTACCCTAGTTTTGACCACCACAGCCAAATGATGCTCACCAGAGGGTCCCGTTCTTAGAATTCACGCCCATACGGCACCCACCGCGACTGCTCCCAGGGACACTGCTCTTCCCGGGCCTCCGTGTAGCTCTCCTCCAGCAAGATGAGCTCCGGCCTGCAGGCGATTCCGACGGCTGAGACTCTCACCGGTGGACTCCCAGACCCCCCCGCGAGCTTTTGGGGTGCTTTTCCTGTCCACGTCCATTTAAACCAAGGTTTCAAAAAGAAATGGAGGTACCCTCACAGACAAGATTTCGCACAGAAAGGCACACTCATGGGGATGACGGGCAAAGTGCTTATGGGGGGTAACTACACGTCCTTGAGCCTGAGATCCTCGGTTGTGGCTTCACAAATTCACAACCAGAAGCCTGCCTCATGTCAAGTGCCAATGCCCGGAAAAAAGAAGCGGGCTCCTTTCGGAAAGCCAAACGTGGATTTGAATCAGGGTCCCTTTCCAAGCTTTGGCACATGGACCGTGATGTTTGCAGCCACCCCACAAGAAATGAACAGAACCCACAAACAATTAAACAAAAATACACACATGACATTAAACAACCACACACAAAAACGGAGACCCATGCCAAACCAGTGAAGGTCCCCTGGAAAACGCCCAGGACCGAGGCCCGGGCGCGCGGTAGAAGCGCGTCACGACGTGCTGCGTCATGACCCTGGCCGCCTGAGTTCGGCTTCCCGCGCGGGGTGTCTGTCAGTCACCCACCAAAAAGTGCTCATGTTGGGCCACTGAAATATGGGGGTGTCCAACTTTTTTGAGGGGACCCCCAGAAAAAGTGGTCTGAAATATGGGAGTATCCAATGTTGAGGGGACCCAAGTGGTGGGCGTTCCTTTTGGTTTCCCTTTAAGCCAACCCCAAAAAGGGGGGTACCCTCAAACAAAGACACACATCCTACCTGCTGTCATGGAAGTGGATCAAGTCCTGACATGGGGTGACTATTAGGAAAACCAACAGAAGAGATGGCTTTCGCCACTAAATGGGAAAAGTTTCCCATGGTCATTTTGGGTCCATCAGGAAAGCCTTCTGTCCGGTGCCATGTTGGAAAGGGGCTAGGAAAATCCTACGGAACGGAGCCTGCGCCGTGGAGAGTCTTTGGCTCATGTAGACTTTCCGGATTCGATGGCTGCCCTCAAGGCTGACTTGTTGGGACCTTGATCCCCCCTACCTTAAGGGGAGGGTAGGGGGGGGAAAATGGGCTACCAGACACAGAGATAAGGGTCGAAATCACCCCTCCCCTAATTTCATTTTGAAGGGACTGGGGATCGTTCTAGGTTTTTTTTAAAGTGCTGTTTTCTTCCGTGTTTGGTTCAATGATCAAGAGCCAGCCACGAATTTGACCCCGAGGTACTCTTCAGCAGTGTACTCAGGAACCCCCGCCCCAAAACCATCGATTGCCCCAGCTGAATCCCAAAAACTTGAAAACCCACTCCACGGACCTCCTGTCCCCTCCGTTTCCCCTGGCCTTGTCGGGCTCCGGCTCCTGGTCGTACGACCTGACGAAAGCCGCCCGGACGGCGGACGTGCGCGCCCCATCCACTGCCCGTGTGCTTTGGGCCCATGCCTTGGCATTCTTCAACGTGACCCCGGAAGTGCTGAGTTTCAGAAAAGTGTTGGCAAGCCTCGAAACGGACAAGATGATTATATAACTCAGACTGTTGGAATTGTGTGTTGGCAACGCGCCCAGGAAGGTCAATATGAAATGACCCATTTTGGGTCCTCTTCCTCTACTGCTTCTTGGCGCCGCAAACGGCTCTGTGAGCGCAAGTCGATGGTTCAACGACCTCCCCTGTGATGCACAGTTCCACCCCTACCCCCGCAGATTCTGGCAACCTGGGACGTGTCGTTCCTTTGATGACTCCCAAAGACGCACGGTCTGAAAGGGAAAGAGAGACCAAACTGATTGGGAAACCAACATTGAACTGGCAAAAGGTGGACAGGCCAGGCTCTGAATCCTTTTCTTTTCAGAGTTGAGAAGGAAAGTCCAAGAGGAACAGCCCGGGGGTTAGTAGGGAGCAGCTCCTTTACCACAAAGCTATGAGCCACCCACCACCCTTTTGCATTGCAACTGTCTTAAATGGTTGAATGGTTGTTGGTTGCCACAAAGAAGTCTTACAACATGGCGGGAAACCCCTCTTTTGCTTAGTGCTTGAAGGAAAGCCAAAGAAAACCAGCAATCCAAACGGGACCAATTCCTTTTTGGGTATGTCTTTTTTGAGGGTACCACATGTTGGTTGTTTTGCAAGGGTAACCAGAAGGAAAAACACAAATTTTGGGGATCCAACCTCAAAAAAGACAGACCCAATTTGAGAAACACACGTAGTAGCCATCCGTTTGGATGTGCTTTCCAAGCCCCCAACTCCTCACCCACAGCGCGCGCCATGCCTGGAACGAGAAGCCGACCAGGACACCCCCCCCCCCTCGCCCTCCGCCGCAGTTTTTAAAGGGAACCAAATCGGCAATTTTGGAGGTTCCCCTTTCTGAGGCCCCCCAAAGGGGCCGTCTCGAAAAGACCTCCTTCTGGGGATGTGTACAAGGGACACGAAGGAGTTTTGGGTGACAGGGGATCAACTTGAAGAACGTGTCAGTGGTGTGATGCTTGAAACGAAGCCGACGGCGCTTTCGCCGGAGTTCAAACAACAGAGATGGGAGTCTCCAAATGCCGGTATATTGGTGTGTCTGTGTGTGCCCAATGTTCCCCATTGCCACAGCAGCTGACGGTAAGATTGGATCATTGCTCGTATCACATACGAGCCACGGACAAGGGGGTGTCCGTTGCAAGCGAGCCGGTGCTGGCCGAAATCGCAGATCTTCACGTTGCAGTCCTGCGACGAACAGCGACCAGGGGCCGTTTCAGAGGAGTCAAAGCCAAGCAAAGAAAGAAAGAAAGAAAGAAAGAAAGAAAGCAAGTAAACAAGCACTCCAAACAAGAGGGAGGCTGATTCTTTTGCATTGCTGGACTGAGCTTAGCCTGCTGCTGCCCTGAAAAGCTCTTTGGGTTTCATTCACTTTCGCTTCCAACCAGCTAAACGGCTGGCGTTTTGAAGAGGGTCGGATCTGTTTGGCCTGGCTCTTCCTTGACAACCTTTGGATTGCTTCCTTGAGTTTGCTTGGCCTGCCTTTTTGCCCACAGGAACCAGGGGGTCAATTCCCCCAACCAACCATCTGGGAAGTCAGGGTCAAGCAAACTTGAGTTGGCAGCCAAGAAGTATGTCACAAAGTTGCAGCTGGGGGGGGCGGGGCTGTGCCCTCCCCCCCAAAAAAGAAACCAACCTTTGCACGTGGCAACCAAGAAAGCCCAGGACCAAAACTCCCCCCGCGGATTTTTTGGCGGAACAAATCGGCCGCTTGCCGCTTGTCCTGATTCACCAGCACATTGGAGGGCTTCAGGTCCCGGTGGTAGATGCCAGCAGAGTGCAGGTACTTCAAGCCCACCTGGGCTCCAGGCTTCAAAAGTGTCGGTTGGTTCTCCTGTTTTTTTTTTTTTTTTTTTTTTTTATGTTTTTTTTTTTTTTTTTTATTGTTTCTCCCTTTCGGGGTTGTGTCTGTGTGTGTGTGTGTGCCCCTTTGCCCTGTTTACATGAAAGGGGTGGTCTGGAGTTTTATTTATGTGTGGTTGTCTTGTTCTGAATTGTGTCTTATTCTGAATCTTACAAACATGGAGCTTGCTCAAAAGATTGGCTTGGCTACATGGTTATAATGTGTATGTAGAGGCATATACATATCTCTCTCTCTCTCTCTCTCTTTGTGGTGTCTTGATGGACATGTCAAAACCCGTGGTTCTTTAGCTGCAGTTACGAGAGTCGGACATGGCATTTTCCTCACCACCTGTTGGAGCATTCAAATCTGCGTGTGGCAGGCGCTCCCACGAGTTCCCTGAGGTACTGGCCAGCAAATGATAAAGTACAAACTTGACCTGCGGAGTTGTGGCTCAAACTCCGAGCGAATCCCGAGAAGTCGAATTCCAGTGGAACTCAAAACCCGAAATTCTGCGATCTGGGCCAAGCCAACAACTTGAGCCTCGCGCCCGATTTCACCAAGGGAGCTTCAGCCAAGGCGCTTGCTGTGTGCAACCTAACATGGACAAACCCAGTTTTTGTTTGACGTCCCTTCAAAACCCACCGGGAAAAAAAAACACAAAAGTTGCCCTTCAAAACCCACCGGAAAAAGACGAAAAACGAAGTGGCCAGCTCCCAAAAAAGCAGAAAAAACGAGCGGAGCATCTCCGCCTGGAGCTCCTCCAGGTACACCTGGAGCTAAAGCTGTCAGGGCGCAGTGAGAAGGCCTTCGTAACTGAAACCCAAAGGGACAACCAATTTGCCAAGCCGATTCAGAACAAGGCGGGACAAGCCTTGGTTTGTGTTTGCGTTGTTGTTTCCTTTCTTTCTTTTTGTGTTTTTTTGGGGGGACTCCAATCTTGGTCCAATGACCTTTAGTAGTTTCCCACCAACCCACAAAACTGGTTATCAAATGGTCTAAGTGACGACATTGAGCTGCGGGGCCCAATGCACAAGAGCTTGGTGCTACATACTGTGGAAGGTTGACATCGAAATCCATGCCCCGCGCCACGAAATGAAACCATGGGTTAAACCACCACGTTTGTTGGCATTTACAGGGAACAATAGATGGCCCTGGTAGACAATAAAAATGCAACCTAAACCTCAGCCGGTGCAACCAAACTACACCTAAAAAGGCAATGCTCCCTTTCCGAAACCTGAAGGGAGGTGACTCTCTACTAGGATTCCATCCAATGGTACTTCTATGACCAACACGTGGAATCGAAGAACTCAAACTCAAAGATAAGTTCGGCGAAATGGAATTGCAACCAATGTATGAACCCACTCATGCTTCCCCACTACGAAGCAGCCCTGGTTCATGTTCAAACTGGCCACAATGAACCTGGGAAGTTTCGTGCAAGTCTCGCGGCACTTTGTGCTTGCTGTTTGTTCCTCATCTGAAGTGCGCCGAGCCGGTGGGGAGTCGCTTCTTAATGTGTTGCTCACCCAAAAGTATTTAATGCCCCAAATCTTTGTCGGTTTTTCGGTTACAAGCAACACACAGGCTCTAGAGAAGTCAGCTTGGGAAACGACCCTTGCGACTGCAACAGAGCTCCTCTTGACAAACCAGTTGAAGACATGACATGGCCAACCGCACGCAGCTCCGCTTTCCAGCCCTCAACCATCGTCTGTCAAGCACTTTGCTGCTTCAGCAACAACACCAGCTGTTTCAAGAACTCGCCCTGACACATCGGCAACTTGTGCTGCCGCCACACCCGACGCATCATGATCTGACGAATGGCGGGGCTAAAACTCGGTGTCCATGCTTTTTGCTGGTCAAGTAAAATAAAAATCGTGACGCAATCATCCCGCCCCCCCCCACCCCCGCCCCCCCCAACAAAAAGGCAATCAACCCAAAAAAACACGGCAAAACGGAGTTCGTCCCACAAACGGCGGTAGGCGGTGGTCCAACTACCCTGCAACCCATAGTTGCTTCATTCTTGAAACTGGGTGGTTTTCCATTGGCATCTTCTAAAAATCAACCCCGAAGACGGGTACGTGCCCTCCTAAAAAAAAAAAAAAAACGACGCTTTCCCTTTCTGGTAACCCCTTGCGGGCTTGGCATCTCAACGGGAAAACAAGATCACAGCGCCATTCTGGGGGGGGGGTCCGTGCAAATCCCTTCGAGACCGGTCCCTCCAGACACGAGTCGCTCCGCGAAGCCCGGGACTGCGCGCCTCTTGGGCACAGAGGGACTTCAGGTCAGCATCCCCCAGCTCCATGACCTGACCAAGGCTGTGCGACCTCCGAAAACAAACCTGAGCTGGCGGGCTGGCGCACGGGGCGGTTTTTGCTTCCTTTTTTGCGCCAGAAAATTGAAGACGGTGTTTCTGGAAACAAAGGAACAAAGCCGGCAGCAGCTTGTTCCTGTTCCTGAAGATAGAATGCGCTTGTTGGACAAAAAAAAAAGAACGAAGGGTGGCTTTTGGTGCAAGCCCGGAGGAAACCAGCTCAAGAAAAGGGGGCGGTTCAGCCGTTTTTGGCAGCACCGAGATGGGCGTGGCTCCCTTGGTTGCGTGTTTTCGGGCTGCGGAAGGGAAGCTGCAGGCCAATGCCCGAAATGACAAATCGGTGCCTTTTTTTTTAAGGGACCCCTCAACAATGGAGCCCAAAAAATGGCGCAACGGTGCTCCTCTTGACGGGGACCTTTCCTCTTGGATCTCCTTTAAAACCGCCCAAAACGGGGACCACGCCTCAAGAAAAATGGACCAGCCACCCCAAGGCCGACATCGAACTTCTCTTGGTGCCCAGGCCAGGTAGAGTGCGTCGGACTCCTCCTCCGGCAGAATCACCTCCGTGGTACCATGTTCTACCATGTTCGACCTCTGCCAACATGGCCATAGGTCAAAAGCCGAATCGTACCCCCAGTGAACATCGCAATCCAACCACTAAAATAGGTTCTAAAATGGGTAGTGAATTCACCTACCCCAAAATGGTACCATTGGTTTTGACCCACAGCCATATGGCCAAAATGCCGAAAAGGAACAGAGGAACGGTTGGTTCTACCATCTTCTCCCATGGCCACACAAGGTTTCTCTAGGCTCTTCCATAGAACAGGTCAAACCCCCCCATGCGCGGCTTGTGGCTGAAATTTGCCGACGGGGCGCGTCATGGAGCCTCACGATGTAGGGGTGATCCTGCACGGATTTGACTCAGTCGCCCGGATGTGCCCCACCCCAAGCACCCCAAAAATGAAGCTTCTTCAACTCAAGGGGCGACTTGGGGGGGTTTCTCAAAAATGGGATTCGGACTTTTTGTTAAATGTAGAGGAACCCAACCATTTTAGGTGAACCATATCTTGAGAACACCCCATTTGGGTATGAATTTGAATGGCGACCCTTTTGGTAGACATCATTTACAGAGGACCGGACCGGACCCTCTCTTTGTTTCCCCAAGCGAGCCCGTCCAGACGCTGGAGGATTGCGACTTCGCGCAGGATCCGCTTGCTGTTGATCTTGTTGCTGAACCTCAGGCAAAAGCATGGTGGGAACTCAAGTCCATTGGGGTGGGTAATGTTAACTTCGGATTCATCCGGAGCACCTTACAGAGGTTCCCCCCTCTCGCCCCTCTGAGTAAGGAAATGATCTAGGGGGGGGTTCCTCCAAGTAGGGTCCTCCGTTTTATCCGCAGTCAACGCTTTCATAATCCCCCCGCTGCCGTCAAACCTCAGGTCAACATGCTCCAAAGACCGCAGGGACGGGACGCCAAAGGACACTAATCCTCCACCATGCGGTTTGATCCGGCTAGCAATCCGGTTTGATGGAACCCCAGAAATGATGGTCCTGATTCTCTACCAAAGACCATGCAAACATGCCTGGACAACACATCCACTGGACACTGGCAAATAGAACCAAGGACTAAAACCTGCTGTCCCCTGGTAGTTTAATTTTGACCCATACAGATGTAGCTTGGACAACGTTCAGCTGTTCCAAAGCCTTGACTCAGGTCGCGGAGCCAAGCGTCGGCGCCTCGCGACTCAGCGACTCAGCGCCCGGCACCGAGTGGATCCGCTTGATGGCCACCATCCGGCCGCCCTCCTCATCCAGGGCCTGGGCGCGGCGTTCGCTCGGGGGGATTTCCCACACAAGCCCACGTCTGTTGCTTGGTTTCGAAGGGAAAGCCCCCTTCGAATACTCCTTACGGGGGTGCCACTGGGCTCGAATTTGGTGGATGTTCAAGGCAGATGGGTTTGTCTAAGGGAGCTTCGGTCCCCTGTTGACACGTGTATTGCGAACGACATGTCAGGCCAATGCTCACCTGGAACCTCACCCTTCGGGCCTGTCACTCCCCCCGGAGGAAACTGGAGTGGGAACTCCGAGGTGTTTCCCAAGAGGTACGGATGCCCCTGCCATATTGCCAAGGAACCCTCAAAGTTCCCATACCATAGTTGTGCAACGTATGGTTGGGGGTACGTAGGCCGCAAGGTCGCATCCCTGCCTAGATAGCCAAGTTGCGATCGCTTCTTTCAGTCACTGTTGCTGGTTTTGGGGGTAAAGTGCATGGAAAAGAGCGATCGCAACTGGCGATCCAGGCAGTCCTTTCAGGACCCCGTCTGGCAGAAGAGCCTCCCGTCCCAGGCTTCAGCCTGTCCAACCACAGCCCGAGCCTCGCGGACTGTGCCGTAGGAGCCTGCCAGAGAGAGAGAGGCCGACGTCGCATCGATTTGTGTCCAGCCTTGATTGCCGACTCACCCAGATTGACATGGCTGTCACAAATAGGTGCCCAAAATGGAACCCTAAAACCTGCGGGTCCCTTGGTGGCTTAACTTTGACCCATACCCACATGGAACCCAAAAAAACCACCGGTCTTTTCGAGGAATCCTCCTGTTGGGGGACTCTCTGTCCAGTTTCTATGTCAATCTGCGGGGAGTAATTGCTGTGCACACAGCCACGCATGCCCAGAAATGAGCCACACAAGTCCCTCCCAAACGTCTCTGGTCGAAGTGGCGTTTGCAAACGTTGGAAATGGGCAGAACCAAACCAGCACAAAAAGCAAAGCAGAAAGAAGAGGCGCGGTGTCAAAGCCAGTCGGGCCTCTCGGGAAATAGGACACACACGGCAGGTCCAAATGCTGTCAAAAGCAGTCGAACTCCCCAAAATCAAGGGAGCATGGATTGGAACGAAACCAGAATTCAATCACCATCCCAACTGAACAAGAGGTGCCCCCGCCTCACGCTTCACACGGTCGTCTGGGCCTACTTCATTTTTGAGGTTGAACCCCCCAAAATGGGCCTATAAACCCCATCCCCAAACAAAGGGCACCCACCAAAACCAACGGACGAGCCATATGGAAGAGGCCCCTCATTCGGCCCCAGCCGGTCACCCAGGCCACCCGAACCTGATGAGTTTGCTGACCAAATCAGGAAGGAAAGGCACCTGCTTCGCCAACTTACCAGGGAAGCCTTACCTGCTAAGTTGGCGAAGCAGGTAAGGGTGATGTTTCAAACCTGCCCTTTGATAAGACGTGTGGGTTTGTCTCAAAGAAGGTAAACCCCCAACAACAGCTTCCTCTGCTTTGCCCATGGCAGGAAATCGACAAAAACCTCGGTTCTGAGGCATCGAGAGGGCACCCCCTTTTGACGGAGAGTTCGCCAGCAGAGACATGAAAGAAACCAACCCATTTTGGCTTGACGACTAGCCTTCTCCAAGAATCATGGAAGTGGACAAAGGCGCCCTTCCTGTTTGCTTTTTGGGGGCAGTTTCACAGGGTGAAAAACCTGGCGCCCTTGGTATCCAACAGACTGTTGGAAGGCGGAAAGAAGGCGGGGTACAGAAGACCACATACCTTAAGGACAACCCAGCCTCCCTTGGTCTTCACCAACAACAGAAAGCACCAACGCTGGTTTTGCATGCCCACACGCCCACCTCACACTCCGGTTCCCCGAAACCCGAACCAACGGGTTCCTTCCCCCCCGCCTGTACCGATCCTCCCTCGCAGCTCATACCGGTCCGGGGTGCTCCACGCGTTGGCCTCAGAAACTCCGGGGCCGCTTTCCGAAAGCGACGTTGGACGACGAGCATTGCAAAGGGCCCCATGTCCACATGGACCCAATGTGGAAAGGTACCCCCCCCCCTTGCCCCTTGCCAGGTTTGTTGGGCGACGCGAAATCAAAAGGAAAAAAAAAACTATCAGAGTCCCTGGTTCCGGCAACCTGCTGGGATTCTTGTGGTATCTCCAGTCAAACCCCACAAAGGGTTCACCCAAGGACATCAAAACATTGTGAAAATTGCCTCGGGTGATTGTTAGCTTTCCTACAGCTCTCGGGACAGCAAACCCCCCCCCTCTCGCAGCACCCAAGCCACGCCTTGATGACACGTGGCCTCAGTCGGCACCCTGCGCCAAAACGATTTGTTTCCTTCACGCGAAACTGAAGAATTTGAAAACTGGGTCACAAGCCTTTCAACTAGCAATGGCACAGTTGATTCTGTGTGCTCATGTGTACGACAAGACTCCGCAGCTCACACGCAGCCGCAAAAGCGGGCCAGGGGCCAGAAATGAGACCCCTTGTTCAGAGCGCGATTGAAAGGGAACCAGCAGGAACCACGCTTTTTGCAAGTCCCCTGACCCAAATGGGTTTCTCTGAATCTGTGCTCCTTTCTTTGGGCGCCATCCACCACATGCCTTGCCCAATCTGCAAAAACCAATGTCCTCTCAGCCACAAAAAGCAAGTGCAGCTAGCACTTCTAGTGATTGGAAATCCAACTGGTTATATTCCTATGTGTGAAAGCTTGAGACTTGTCTGGCGGCTTCAAGGAGCCAACATGAAGCCGCAAAGCACTTGGGGGGATTCCCTTTGCTGGGGGATGATTCCCCATTCTTTTCAACCATCGTTCTTTTCAAAAACCAGCTGTTTCCCCTGGGGTTCTGATGGTTTTCTGAAAAGAAATTCGGATCCCTGGGAAGAATGGAAATGGAAGTGTCCCCTAGACCTTTGCTAGAATCCACGTTTTGAGAGAAGTCTTCTTGTGACAAAGAAGGAGCACGCTTTGGTCCCTGACCTGAAGGGACTGTCAATGGACTTCGCCGCTCACAAGGGGCAACCCAACCATGCTAAGGGGAACGAACATGGCTGGGTCAAAAACAGGTACCCAAGATGGAACCCTGGCAAGTGGCAACATCCACCTGCGGTTTGTTCCTTTTGCCTCTTTTTTTCTCGGGTGGTTTGATTCGTCGGATCACCTGGGCACCGGCGGCGAGCTCTTGCCCGGCGGCGTGAGGTGAGACCCGCCTGGTTTTCTCCCGACGCAAACCCGATGGCGCAGGATGGGAGTTGGTGGTTGGGGGCTGACTTAGGGTTGGTTTAGGCTGGCTTAGGGATGCTTTTTTCGTTGCCCAGGATCGGAGGTCCAACCTTGTCACTTTCCTGTGGATGAACCATGGCACCACTTCGCAGCAGCTGGGATGGAAAAAAAACAACATGGAGGAAGGGTTTTCTTCTCAGGTGCGGCGCGGCCTCCTTTCCTAGCTTCGGCGAGGCCTCCGGCCCCGACCCAGAAAAGCCGAGGGGTGGGGTTTCTGGTTGGTTTAGTGTAAGGTTGGTTTGGTGCTGGTTTAGGGTCGGCTCAGGCTCGGCCTTCGCTGGGTGTGCGGTGGGTTTGGGCTTGGCTTCAGGTAGGTCAATACTCATCGCGCCACAAGGTGCGCCTCAGCTTGGCTTTGACTTCGCTTTCTGCATGTTGCATTGGACAGCCATGAACTCGGCTCTGCCGGGGTGGCCATCCGGAAACATCTTTTTCGACCCTTTTTGCTGGCCTTTGGGGCATCCTGTCATCTCACTGGTTGCTTGTGTGTGGTGAATTGTTTAGTGCATTGGTCCATGTAAGGTGGGGAAGATATAAATATGATATTGTTGAAAAAGGTCCTGACCCAATTGCGATTTAGGGAAGGAAATCATGGAAAAAACATATTGCTTTGATTGTCAAACAACCAAAGACACATGTTTACAGAACCTGACAAAACTTGCGGATGATTCAGATCCACGGCCGATCCACTGCTCAGGCAGGTGCACACTCAGAGCTTTGTGTATCTGATGCAAGCTTGCGCTGTGGCCGCGGAGGCACAATCAACTCCGTCATCATGGGACACAGCCAGGCTTCGCATGCCTTGCTCTGGAGTCGGAGCTCCCTCATTTGGGGCTGGCGGTGGTTCAAGCTTGGTATAGGGTTTTCTTAGGGTATGTTAGGGTTGGTTTTGGGCTGGTTTTGGGTGGTTTAGGGCTGGTTTAGGGTGGGTTTAGGGTTGGTTTGGGGTTGGTTTAGGGTGGGTTTAAGGCCGGTTTAGAGTTGGTTTAGGGATGGGGTTTAGGGTTGGTTTCGGGTGGGTCTAGGTTGGTATAGGGGTTGTTTTGTGCGCTGGTTTAGTGGAGGGCTGGTTTAGGGGTGGGTTTAGGGCTGGTTTAGGGGTGGGCTTAGGGCTGGTTTGGGGTTGGTTTAGGGCTGTTGTAGGTTCGGGCTGCTTACAGTTATTTTAGGGATGGTTTAATGGTGGTTTAGGGTTGGTTTGGGGTTGATTTAGGGTGGGTTTAGGGTTGGTTTGGGTTGGTTTACGGATTGCTATAGGATTGAGTGGAGTTTGTTTCGGGTTGGCATATTCGGGGGATTAGTTTTGTTTTGGCTGGGTTTGGCGGGGGGTTAGGGTTGGTTTAGGGTTGTTGGGGCTGGTTTAGGGTGGGCTTAGGGTAGTAGGTTTAGGGTATTTAGTGCTGGTCTAAAGCTTAGGGTGGGTTGAGGGTTTGCTTAGGTTTTTGTTTAGGGTTGATTTTGAGGTGGCTTAAAGCTGGTTCAGGGTAGGGTTTCTTTAGGCTGGGTTTCGGATAGGTTTGGGGTGGGTTAGGTTTGGCTCAGGTTTTGTCAGGGTTGGTTTGGGGTTGGTTCGGGTTGGTTAGGGTTGGAAAAGGGTGCACTTACGTTCACATTCCGGCGATGCAAGGAGTCACAAGCCTCTTATCCTTTTGTCAAAGACGACATCTCTGAAATGAAGACATTCGCGTATCAAAGAAAAGCCGGACAGTGCGAGATGCTTGTTTTCTCTGCGCATACATCCAAGGAACACGTAAAAACCTACGGGGAGTTGTGAAAATCGGAGCCCATTTCGGTACCCCCTTCACTTGGCGGCACGAGGAGCTGCTCCGAAACCGGTCTCAAAGTTCCATTTGGACTGAAACCCAGGAACGGTTCATGCGGCGGTGGCTGAAATAAACGAACCAAAATGGCACCTTGGTAGATGGAACCAAAGACTAAAACCTGCGTATCCCTAACTCGATCATTTTGAGCCACAGCCATGTAGTCCAAGAAACGACTGGGTTGAGGTCCTTTCGGGCGCCAAGACCTGAGTCTTCGCTGGCTCCGGCCTTTCTTCCCCCTCGAGGGTGAGCCTGCCTGATCGCAGGGCGCTGGATCGATCGATCGACATTCGCGGCGGAAGAGAGTCAAGCCGAAGGCACCTGAAGCATTCCTGGAAGATCACCTGTTTCTTGAAGGGACCCTGTTGCCACGTTAAGGATGGTCCAAAACGGGGGGTCTACCCAAAGCCTCACAGGGCAGAGGGAAAGCCCCTGAGCTTCACTTTGCCCAGGTTGTTCAGGCTTGAGGCACCAAAAAAAAAACCGCAAGAACAGCACTGGTCTGCGAGGGCTGAAAGTTGATCAACATTCCCCATGATGGGTAACTTTTGCCATTTGGGTATGGGTCAAAATTGAGCCACCAAGGACCCGCATGTTGTAGTCCATGTGTCCATCTACCAGGGATCCATTTTGAGTACCTATTTAGACCCACAGCCATTTGGCGTTTTTGTCTCATATTTTTAGTGGTTTTCCCCAATGGTCCCCCCATGTAAAGGACACCCTAAGACATCATCCGCCAGCAACAAGCCAGTTTTGCCCTGTGGGGTGGGGTAGCGGACACCCTGGTGGAACTGTTTGCTGCAAACGGATTTCAAACCCCCTGTTTCCACACATTTGAGCCACCCTTGTTCAAACAAACCCCTCTTTGCAATTCCCTTAAACCACCAGGGACCAGGCTTTGGTTGATTGCCGGTAAACCGATTTTGAGGTTGTTTTTTGGGGAAAACCCCTGGGGCTGGTTCAAAGAGAAGCCAAGAGAACAACCACCCCTTGAATTTCCGGGTTCCGTTGAGGGGGTCCCCTCGGTTTTCAGCCCCATGTTGAACCCGAGGCCCAAGAAAGTCCCGCCTGGGACAGCAACGTCAAATCGCCCATGGCCACAGCGACCTCGGCGAGGCGAAGCTTCGGACCTCCTGAAACGGGGAGGGCTCCCGAGATCTTCCGAAAACCATCAGACCACAAGGAAACCAATACCAACCATCACCCTTTCACCATCACCCGTAATTGTTTAAAAAAAAAAAAAAAAAACACTTTGAGCGTCAACCACAAGGAACTGACCATCACCCTCAACCATGACCATCACCCTTTAAATTTTCGAGGATGTTCAAACCAAGGCCGCCAAAGTAGACTTGTAGGGAACCCATAGTAAAAACATGCGGGTCGGCCTTTTGTTCCCTCTGAACGCACGCCAACAGCAAATCCGCAATTGGCCACGCCCATCTTGTAGCGCAGAGAAACTGGGGCGTCAGCTGCCATGCCTTTGTCCAGCACGGTGCGTCCAATCCAAATCAAGTCTTGTGCTGGAATGGTTGTGCCTTGACCGTCCTGCACGTAACGGGGTTCTGCGGCTGCCGTTGCATCGGCTAAGTTTGAACCGAACCGGCTAAGCACGGCAGCTTTCCCCAGTCGACATCTACTCTTGATACTAAAGAGTTCTACCCAAAACTCGATGCGCAGAATCAAAAGAGCGACTCCCTACTGAACTTCAACTAGCCAGGTTTTATTGTGGCTGTGGCCTGCTGTGACTTGTCGAGTCTCCCTTTCATGTTCTTTTCCTTTCACAGCATTCTCTTTCTCTTTTATCATCTCCTTTCTCTTAACTAATCTCAACAAATGAAAAGGAGATGATAAGAAAGGAAAGACACAATAAAAGCAAACAAAGGTTCGCGTCCGCAGAATGGCCCCAAGGCCGGCCAAGTCCAAACATGTCCATGTTTCAGTGGGTAGTCAAACAGGTTCCTCTCGGTGGTTTGGTGGGCAGTGGGTAGGGCTGGCTTCCGGAGTCAAATCCCCAAACCACCAACGCAAACCACCAATTGGGGGCTAGCTGAACTTGTAGATTCTCAAGTTGCCAGAAACCAACCGCAGCCTCAGCGCGCGCCTCCCATTTTGCCCTTCTGCGTGTTGTTTCTTTCCTGGTCTGTCCGAGTGAAACGCAAAAAGAGAAAAAACTATGACGGGCAACACAGGGCTCCCTGGATTTCCCATGGCGCCGCTGGGGTCCGATTTTTGGAGGGTGGCCCTTTTCTGGTTGGAAGGAATTTAAGCAACCAACATAAGGCAACTCGCAAACACGCGGTTGAAAGGAGATGCTTGAAACCATCACTTCAGGGACCCCTGCTCTTTTCGCCAAACAAACCTCCGACTCTGCCGGGAGAGTTTGACTTGCGACAACCCAGAAGCAAATGGGCGTGGGTCAAAACATGGAATCCCCATGCAAACTTGGTAAAGGGTAACAAGGACTAGCAGCTGCGGCCCCCTGGTGGGTTAAGTTTGCCCCACGGCCAGATGTTTCGTGTACCCGAGCACTCTCGCCGTCGGCGAGATCGGAATCGATGGGTGGGATCCTTGGAAGATTGCAATTCGGAGCCCGGTTCGAAGACTTCAAACTGTTCGCAGATTCCAGGAAGTCAGCTCTACGTGCTTCCAGTGACCAAAGGCACAACAATGGAAGCTGAGTGGAGGGTGTTGGAAGACTACAGGGCTTGTGAACATGGCATCCTGCGCACTTCGATCGTGGATGATTCGAGGGTGGCAAGGAAGAAAAACATCATGCAGATCCAAGACGCCAACATTCATGGCGCTTCCGTTTCAACTGGTCGCTTCCTACCTGGAATCACTGGGCAAGGTGTCCTTTTTGTGAAACAGATGGCAGTCGCAAAACTAACATCGAACCAAGCTGAACCCTCTTTTCCAAATCCAAATTGTGTTCAGGTTCAAAGGACGCCTTTCGTCACTCGATGAAATTCTCCTCCGGCGCGGTCAGATTTTGGCTCAGCTCCTGACAAAGTTCCTCGCTGCCCCCGCGCAAACGGGTCCGCCACCGGAAGAAGCCGGTCCGGGCTCTTGCCGGGCTCACCGCGAGGGCCTCCACAGTGCAGAGGCGGGGGGGGGGGTCTATTTTAAAGTAACCAAAGGGAAAACTATTACTTTTGGTTGGGGGGGAGGGGGAACGCACATGCCCAGCCCTTGGGGGTCCGAAGGAAACCCTGTCAGACCCCGCGACATGGCGTCGTTGTCCTGGCTTACCTTCCGGGTCATCAGTGTTGCCAGCTGCACCCAATGCCCCGAACCCCTCTGCCCAATGCACCCCGTGCTTCTCCCTCAGCCCCAACCGCGGTCGAGTAACGGGTGCCCTTGGGAAGGAAAGGGAGCACCCAACCTCGAGGGTTCCTCAGGGATCCTCAAACTGTCCGCTTCTCCAAATCCCTCTTTTGACACATACCACACGCAAAACGGCCCCAAACTCTGCGGACATAATCCCCCCCGATGTAAAGCAGGAGGTTGTTGGATGCATCCTTTGACTGGCCCCACTATTCCACCAGTATCAAAGTCTCCCAAGCGTTTAGGTTCAAAGAAGCCCAGTGTCTGACTTTAACCCCCAAAAAAAAAAGCTCCAGATCCCCTACCAATCAAAATGGAACCTGACAGGGGTCCCTTTCAAAGTCCATGGTCCAAACCAAGACCCCCCTTTCAACGTCAGGCTCCATGTGAAAAGCTCCCCCCCCCCCCCAATCCCCGCATCCCCATCCAGCCATCCAGGCCTCTTCGGCCTGACGCTTCTCCTCCTCCGAAGCGAAGAAGATCAAGACCTGGGCGGTCACGTCCCGAGTTTTTTCGAAGTGAGTGTCCCACGAAACCTTCAGCTTCCCTCAGGTTGCTTTGGATTGAAGCGGGTAGGGAGGGGGGGCGCTCCCTCAGGTTGCTTTGGGTTGGTCTGAAGTGGCTGCGGGGGGGCTTCCCTCAGGTTGGTTTGGATTGGTCCGAAGGGGGTAGGGGGGTTGCTCCCATCTACCCGATTCCTGCAAGACGTGCTGCGACAGGGAAGGAATGACTTTCCGAGTCCGGGTGTTGAATGATCCCGTTGGAAGGGAATTCCCGACAGAAACCATAGGATGGATGGCTTGTTTCGGGGTCATTCCATTTCTCATTCCCTGGCGGAGAACCAGCAAGATAAACAATCCTGCAGGTTACATCCGCGAGTCTCAACATCCATACCTTTCTCATGTCCGATGAAACTTGCATGATCTTGAATCCCAATAGTATAAACCTGTTGCAAGTATCATGGAAAACTTGCGCTGGATCGGCTGTGCTGTATTGGAGTGGAGGCGATCAAACACATGTCAAGTTCATGTTTCAAGGAGACCCCCAACCAACCCACACCATAGGTGTCCTTTTGGGTTGTTTTGGTAGAAAAATAGAGGTGATTCCTGGTTTACCTGGTGGTTGAATCATCTACCTGGGAAACCCATGTATTTCCAACCTAAAAGGACACCTGTGACCCACACCTTGAAAAGCAAAAAACCACTTGCGCAACCCGCGGGTTTCTGCCCTTCAAGTAAGGCCACGCCCGAAATCGACCAAGACACGAAGCGGCTGGTGAGCGCGATCACCGCCAAGGAGTACACCAGGCAGCTGGCCATGTACCTCGACGGATCTGAAAAAATGTCGCGAAGTCTAAGGCCCGGACATACAGACCAAACCCAACGTAAGGACGTCCCAAGTGATGCAGCGAAGGTGGCATTTTCTAAAGCCTGACAAGCGGAAATCCCAAGAAGGGTTTGGGGTCTGAAGCCTGAAATATGGAAATCCTAAATAAGCGACATGTTCAATCATGGTGAGCCCATTTTGCGAGGTGAGCTCGCCCTAAAATAGACAAATCGATTCAGAACGCGCGCTGCTCTTGCGGTTGATCGACTGCGGAAAGCCAGGCGCAACGACCCAAACGTTGACGGCGCGTTTGGAAGGCCTGGTTTGCACAGATGGTCGCAGCCGTCTTCGCAGCTGTCTTTGCCGACGTTTTCGTCTGGCTCGACAGAAAAGGAGAGACTATGCTCTTGTTCGCTCATGGGAAATCCGTCCAAACTCCGACGACCTTGCAGAAACCCCGGATTTTAACCCCCCCTAAAACAAGAAAAAAAGCCAGAAACACGGTTCGCCCGAGAAAACACACACCCACCTCGCCCCCCCCCTCCCCCCACCCCCATCTCCCCGATCCCTCCGCCGCTTTTCGAGGCGCCAGAAGGTGCCCCTGGACGCCAGATGCCCGCAGAGCACGGAGTAGCCCCGCACGCAGAGCATGCCCCACTGGAAGCACACCACGAAGCCCAGCACGTCGTAGACCAGCACCGACCTGGGCGTCTGGGCGTCTGGGGCTCGAGGCGCGCGACTTTTTTGCCAAAAAAGAAAAAAGAAAAAGTGGGACGCGAGGAAGCTTCAGAGATTTCGTGCTTCTTTGGGGTCACTCAGGGAAATGTCGAAAATAAAGGCGACAAGGGGCCCCGTGGGGCGAGGAAGTTGTTCTTCTTCGGAAGAAACGTTGTGGTTGTTTTGTTTGGGTCAGTCAGAGATATGTCGCACAGAAAGGGGGACCACGGTTTTGGTTTGAGGTAGATCACTTCCAAGTAGGTGGTTTCAGGTAGGTTTGATTGTTCAACCCCGCAAGCCCTCAGCAATTTATGGGTGCTTGGTGCCACAATGGGTCGTTTCTGATTGACTTTGTAGCTCAAGCTCCACCTGTGTCCCCAAAATAGAACCTAGGCCTGAAGGCCGTACTTGAAGGAAACCAGGATGGGAGGTGTTGGAGGAGGGGAGCAAGGCTGGATCCTATGATCATCTCCCAACCTCCTTCTGGTTTCCCTAACGCCACTTTTTGCAACCAAGTGTTGGTTAAGGGGGTACCAAAGCCTGGTGGTTGTTTCTTCCAATTTGTCTGGCCTCATTATTTTACCATCATCAAAGTCACCCCTAAGTGGTGGGTTAAAGGGAAACAACCAACCAGTGTCTGACTTGATAAACTTGATCACCCCCAGAAACCGTCAAACAAGTGAAGCTTCTGACTTGATAACTTCCAGAAACCGTCGACATCATGGTACCAAAGCCTGGTGGTGTGTCTTTGCAATTTGCGCAACCAAGCTCTAGCGGCCAACATAATGAAGCTCTTGGAAATCCCTCAAACAATCACATTAGCAAAACAATAGGAAACCAATCGATCAGCCAAGTACAGCAGAAATAGAACGAACCATCCAATTGGGTCAGCCATGAACAGATTCATAGGGGGTTGAACCCCAGTGCTGGTGTTTGTTCCTCTCCAAAAAAGTGCAACCAACAGGGCTCCCTATGTTTCCTCTTAAAACATCGCCCCCACCGACGGACACTCACTCACCTTTCACGGGCCCAAAAGGTGATGCTTGAAACCACCAAAAAGGGAAGTAGAGGAATCGACCCCTGACCAAGTTCGAACGAGCCGTGGCACAAGCACACGGTGGTGGAGATGGCTCCAGGGTTCAGCTGCAGCTGTCGCTCTGACTCCACCTCCAGCAGCGCCTCCTCGCCCATGGGCGTGTAGGCCTCCCCGTCCTGGGAGTCGGAGGGCTCGCCCCCCCCTTCGAGGCCCCCCACGAGAGTTAGGTTGGTGGGAGGGTAATTGGGTGGGATTTTTTTTGGGGTTAGCCTTTTCACCTTACCTTTTTCAAGGGATGAGGAAAACCGGATGTATTTCCTCATCTTACTTTGTGAAGCCAAGATGAAAACCACAGTTTTGGGAGGGGGTTGGGGGGGGTAGCCTGTTCAGCTTCCCATATTTAAGGGAAGAGGAAAACCACCGGATGTTTGATTTTTTTTCGGGGGGAGGTTATCCCTATTTTGACACGTACCAAAAAAAGGTCAGGGGGTTCCCCCCTTCAGGCGGTGTGGTTCAGAGGTGCGTAGGATTCTTAAGCTTGACCGTACCCCAAGCCCAAGGCTTCTCACCCCGCTGGTCCTCCAGCGCTCTAGCACTGCCGCCAGCGGCGTGGGGCGGCGAGCCCTTTCCCTCCTCCAAGAAGCAGGCGTCGCTCCCGGTCTTCTGCACCTGTTTTGAACATGGCTGTGGGTCAAAATCCAATTTGTACCCCCAGTGAACATCCCAATCCAACCACTAAAATCGGTTCTTAATGGGTAGTGAATTCACCTACCCCAAAATGGTACCATTGGTTTTGACCCACAGACACATCTTGGAACGCCTCACTCCCAGTTACCACCATAGCAGGAACAAGAACGATTGAACGCCCAACCCAGTCGCAGTTCCCACTACAATAGGGACAAAAACAATTAGCCACCACCGAGTTGTATGTTCAAACACCAAATGTTGGAACATCATTTGGCTGTGGGTTGACCCACATCCAATTTAGGTGGGGTTTTATGTCCACCAACCATTTTGCAGGGGGGTGCTTTTTCAAAATAATTGCCATATGGGTGTGGCTGAAAATGAAAGGTTTGAACATCACTTGCCGGAACATCCCGCTCAACCAATCTCGCCCAATCCAAACCCGCCTGCAAGAGCATCTCCCCGAACTCCGTTCGGCGCCTCCGACCAATCAATGCACCCAGCACGCCCCGTGCAACATGGACATGGGCCACCTATGTGTCCAATGGGGTGAGGGAAAACCTGCCAAAAAGGGGAAAAAGGCGGAGGGGGGGGGGATTGTACCCAACTCATCGAAGCGCGCTTCCAAGTCTTTTCGTCCCTTGAAACTGTTCTTTGGATGCCTCACACAAAGTCCCAACCCCCAACCCACCACCCCCCAAACCACCCACCTCTTCACCATCTGGTCGCAGGCATCGTTCACGGACCGCGAAAGGCGCATGGACGTGAGCGCGTCGACCTTCGACGATTGCAGCGTGGAATCCCCACATGAGCCACCGTCAAGATTCTGCTCTATGCCCCCTGGGGACATGGGTGTTGCTTGGAGAATTGTCTTGTTTGTGAGAAATTTAGAGAGAGCGAGAGAGAGAGAGAGGGTCCCCCCGTGTCCTGCAGATTGGAGATAACAAAGAAATACAAGGATCATACATAAGTTGCAAATGAACATCACTGTTTGGGCCAGGTATGAATGTGTCTCCTTTTGGTGCTTAAAGAGGGCATCTGCACCTCTAGAAGGATACCCGTATCGGGGGCCGCCAGTCGTGTTTCCAACAGTCTTAACGGGACAAATATGCGTTCTTGATATGCACAGCTCTGATTTGCACAGCTCGGTTTTTGCTTTCCAAAAGAATTCTTTGGCGATCAAACAGGGCGCGAAACATCAACCACCCCCAGGAAGTTCCCTCTCCAAAGGCCACAAGGAAGGTCGACGTCTAAAGACGAAAAGGCACGTTGCTTAAACAAGAAGGGTAGAGTAGAGGGCCACCCCCTGTTCAAAACATGTCTGTTAAACACACACACACACACAGAGACACACACACACAGACACACAGACACACACACACACAGACACACACATACAGACACACAGACACACACGCAGACACAGACACACACAGACACACACAGACACACACACACACACACACAGACAGACAGACAGACAGACAGACAGACAGACAGACAGACAGACAGACAGACAGACAGACAGACAGACAGACAGACAGACAGACAGACAGACAGACAGACAGACAGACAGACAGACAGACAGACAGACAGACAGACAGACAGACAGACAGACAGACAGACAGACAGACAGACAGACAGACAGACAGACAGACAGACAGACAGACACAGACAGACACACAGACACACAGACACACAGACACACAGACACACAGACACACAGACACACAGACACACAGACACACAGACACACAGACACACAGACACACAGACACACAGACACACAGACACACAGACACACAGACACAGCGACACAGACACAGACACACACACACATACACACACATACACACACATACACACACATTCTCCGCGAATTCATACAATGCACCAACCAGAATGAAGGGAGCGGAAAAGGGTACCAACTCGAGAAGACGCACGCGTGCACTTCAAGAACAAACTCTCCATGGTGACGCGGCCCGGCCCTCCCAAAAACCTATTTCAGAGGGATTGATTATTGTGTCCCCCCCATGTTATATACTGATTCAGACGACCGAATCGTGACAATTTGTGACTAGTGGGGGCCTCGGGACGATTGAGGGCCACATCCCTCTTCTGGCTCCCCTTCCTACTGTGGATGGACGCATTTCCGCATCCACAGTATGGAACCCTTACACCGAGTGACCCTTTTTTAGGATTCCACCAAAGGTTTGTCTCTTTGCACCATGTGGCTATGGGTCAAAGCCCCGTACCCCCAGTGAACATCCCAATCCAACCACTATCTAAAATGGGTGGTGAATTCACCTACCAACCCAAATGATATTTTGACCCACAGCCATTTTTTGGACAGGGATCCCAACCACTGCGTTTTGACCCACGGCCATGTGGCACCCGCCTCGAAGGCCCAGGTGATGCATGCGGAGGTCAGCGCCGAGACCAAAGTCACCGCCACCGCCACCAGGCACAGCACTGCAAAGGCCTGCAGACGCTGGCAAAGGGGGCCGTGCCTGGTGTATACACATTGTGTATATATTTATATGTATATATATATATATAGATGTATGTGTGTTACACATTACATGTGCATACTAGTACATATACATATATGCCTATGTGTATATATATATATGTATATGTACTAGTATACACATGTCATGTGTATATGGATATATATATATATATATATGCTATCCCCCCCCAAAACCTAGGTTTCATCACTCTTCAAGTGGATTTGTGCCAGCAAGGGTTGCCACACAAGGTTCATTCTGATAGCCACTCTTCAAATGGATTTGTGCCAGAGTGGATTGAGGAAGTGTCATTTTAGTTGATTGAACAGCCCCGGCTGAACAGAAGTGAAGACAGACAGTGCCCTGATAGATGACTGGCAACATGGAGGCACCACAGGTATTTATTTTCTGCATCTTGCGCAATCCACCTGGCTATGGGCTTTGCATGAACTTAGCCATCGCCCATGCGCACAAATCATCAGACGCCAGCCACAGGTCTTGATTCCTCAGCCAATACTCATATTGGGCAGACCGAATCATGGACCTGAGGTCCTTAGTCCCCACGGTGGCATGCTGGCTAGGATTAATTCGATCCTTCAAGAACCTCCATGCACGATCGATCACCTGCGTCCCTGCCTTGACCTTCAAGATCTTCCCTGTCTTGGGGTCCTTATGCTTCGCGATCTTGACGTAGCACGGCGGAGTCCACTTCCACTTCCCGTTCTTCTTCACCCGCTTCTTGCAATGAACCACGCGGTCATGCAGCACCCCGCGAATCTTCGTTTTGTAGGACTTTGTGGCGTCCGTGTGGAGGATCACCTTCTGGTCCTCCAAGAGCTCGCTCGCAATGGGGGTCCACTCCACCTTCCGGATGGCTCCCGGACCACGGGCGCGCGCCTGAGACAGCTCAGGCTTCAGGCGCTTCAGCACCAATCCGCGGCTTGCCCCTCTGGACCACTCCGCACCACTGCTCCCATTGCATGGGCGTGGACTTATCCTCGACAAGCTCGGCCACATTCTTCTTCGCGAAGGTCGTCTCATCCGCCTCGACATCCGTCCAGCGGCTTTCACCACCAAGCTCAATGTCCTTCTCCTTCTCCTCCACATAGGACATACGAGCGTCGCGGAGACGGCCACTCATATCCTCGATGACCTTGTGATTCACATGAAAGCAGTCGGTGAATAGCGGGGTGAGGCACATTGTTCAGGAGCAGGAGAAGCATGGCAGCTTGCTGCTGCAAGGAAGAGGATCCAGAGCCACGGCCGTCCACAAAAACAGGATGCAAATGGTGAGGGTTGATGTCGACCTGGCATCCCCATTGGCTGCATCTGTGCTTGGGCATTTCTGATTCATGCTTCGGGTCGGTTCGCAGTCGAAAGTGTGCCCTTCTGACATCGAGGGCAGACCTTGTGGTCCCACTTTGGAAGCAATCCATCTTCGCGTAGGATCTCAACCAACTCCGAAGTGGTCGCGGTGAGCAACTCCACAAGGGATCTTGACCACATGCATTGATCTTGCCGGATAGGATCCGCTTCACCACCTGCTTCTCGAACATAGCTATCCCCCCCCCCCCGTTTTTTTTTTTTTTTTTTTGGGGGGGGGGGGGGGGTACCGTATATATATATATATATAGATATATTCGTATATATGTACGTATATATATGTATATATGATTAGCATGTCTGCAATATCCGAAGGCAAAAGCAAACGCCCTCGCCGCGCTCCTCCACGTCGAACATCGAGGAGGTGGCCGAGTACACCCAGGAGGCCAGCATGATCAACAGCCCGTAGGTGGGGTCGCAGCATGACATCACCAGGCAAACCACGCAGGAGTAGACCATGTAAGACACGAAGGACCTGCCAAGGTCCGTCTCCTCAAAACCTGGTTCTAAAAGGGCGGAGCACATACTAGACTCATCATCAAGACCTTGGGACCGTCCCGCACAACTCATCTACTCGGGTTGTTGTTTTTTTTGTCACCAAAGGGTCCAAAACAATTAACTTGCATACCCATCCGCTACCAACTTGCCTGTTTCCCCAAAAGGACATGGGGAAGACTAGATGGTTCCCCTGTTTCCTTTTTGCGGAAGAATCTGGGTAGACCACCCAAGTCCTCTGCAAAGTCTGCCCGTTGTGTACATTCCCCTGGATGGGTTCCATTCTCGGAGGCGTCCTGTTTGGGCCTGCTTTGAAGGGAAACGACCAGGACTCGGCTTTCCAAGGAGGCGGAGGTTCGGGACAGAAAGCCTGTGCACGACAAATATGGGTGTGTCTTTTGTGGAGGGTTACCCCTCTTTGGACAGCCTTACAGGGAAAGCAAAAGGACAATCATCATTTTGGGGGGTCCCCTATTCTAAGTCACACCCAGAGCAGGTAGTTTGGGAACAAGTTGGAACCCAGGTCGATGCATCTCCTTGCCAGGTTTCCACAGAGCTGGATGTTGTTCACATGCCTCCCAATCATCACCACCGCCTTCGGGTCTTCTTTCACCAAAATGTGCGCCCGGCTGCCCTTGCTGATTGAGGGAGGCTGTCCCATGGAGCGAAAGGTTTTCTGGAAGTCTGGGAGACAAATCCCCAAATCTTCCTTCAGCAGGGTTGTGGGAATTGCACCCACCACTCATGGAAGGCCTTGCAAATGGCGAAGACATTTCCCACAAGCGCAGGGCACATCCTGGTTCCCAGTCAAACACAAAACCAAGAGCACGACAAGAAATCCCCCACGACTCACCTTCAGATCTTCCAACTCCCCCCCCCTCAAAAGAAAACAAAAACAAAAATGTTCTTCCAACCCCCCCCCCCCCTCCGGAGAAAAAAAAAGAAGGCCTCCGCACGGAGTTGCTGTAGCCGTGGCAGTAGCACAGCTGCTGCAGCTGCGGATCCGGAATGATGGGCTCTGGCCCAAACCTCGAGTGGAGCGACCAAAGGGCGGCTGAACGTGAGCTTGCAACTTAGAAGAGCCATAGCTGTGGATGGTTGCGAAATCCGTTCCTTAGGCACCACGAAATGAAACCATGGGAATGAAACCAGAACGTTTGTGGGTATCTACAGAGGAATCATCAGACACCAGGGATTCTTAGGTGGTGCGAAATGGATTTCGCCCATCCACGGTAGGTGTCCTTTCAGGGTAAGTAGATGGGCTTTGGTAGATGAGAAAAAACCACCAGGTGAACCAGGAATCGAAACCCATCTATTTTTCTACCAAAACAACCCAAAAAGGACACATATGGGAAGAGCCGGGCTGTTTTCTTTCAGGCCAGAAGGTCGGGAAGGCCAGATTCGGAAATTCTTGTGCTATCATGTTTGGGTCTGTGCGGTTTCGGGGCCCCCAATTCCTGAATTTTGGGAGCCGTTTCGGCAAATTTTGGGGCTGGCCGAGTTCTGATTCCAACAAGGTACTCCATTTTGTAAAATAAGTGTTGCTTTCTAGGGTTTAGGGAACCCACAAGAACTCATTCTTGAATGAATCTCATTGTTGGGGTCCCTTGTTCGGGTTCCATGTTCATTTAGGGAAGCAGTCTCAAAAGGAAAGCGTCAGACCAAAACGTAACGAGGCAACAACCACCCTGAGTCACGCTCAACATGGGCTCTTCCCTTCGCCCCTCGCCTCAGGTAGAAGAGCGTGCTCAGCACGAAGAAGCCGCCGATCACCGCCTGGGCCGTGAGGTTGTCCTGCGAGGCAACGACGGCTGGGTCTACTGCTCGCCAAACCGGGGTCAGAAACGAGTTTGCCCCAAAATATGGAACCCTCAAACTTGATGTTGCTCCCTTTCTCTCCCCTTCCCCCCTTCCCCCCGTCCCCCTTCTCCCTTCCCCCCTTCCCCCTCCCCCCTCCCCTCCACCCCCGGACGCCTGGGCGGGGTCCAGCGCGGCCCCCAGGGACAGCACCAGCTCCCAGTTGCTCCAGGCCACCGCCCAGCCCAGGCACGTGATGGTGGCCAGCAGGAAGAACCGCAGGAACCCCCCCAGACCTCCAGCCAGCGTCGCGGACCCGTCACGCGTCGCACGTCGATGACCCGTCGCGGACGCGTCGAGAACCATTCACCACCCGGACCACCCGGACCCACCGGGCTGGACGCTCCGCTTTTCTTCAGATCCGCGAGTGGACAAAATTTGAGTGGGTGAAATGCAAATGTCTAAGCACTGAACAACCTAAGGAACCGGATCGCTGTCTCGAGGAAGCAGTCCCAATCGCGCGTGGACGCGGGCATCCGATTGGAAATAAAAGAGAAATCGAATGGGAGACCAAGCCAAGGGATATGGTTGCAAAGCGGGTTCTGAATGGCGAAAATGCCCAGTAGTATCCGGGCTTGGTGTCAAAGGGAGACAGAACAGGGGAAAACCCCAGAGTCATCAATCATCGGTTGATCAAGAGGCAGCTCTCAGCTCGAGAAATGGAGATGTGGAACGCTGAAGCGCAGAAACAACCCTGGCTTTTAGCTTTGAGCCTCAAAAAGTCGAATTAAGAGAAACTCTTTCAGGAGAGCGCTTCTATTTCCCCTTTTAGGAATTTCAACTTGGGGTACATGAGGATGCCTTCAACTTGGCAGCCCCAACGCACAACACACCAGGCTGCAACCCTGCAGTCCTGGAGGCGTTCCAACGGTTCTGCAGATCTCGCCTGTGAAAAGCGCACCCTTTCCTTGCTGGTGCTCAGGAGAAAATGAGGACATGAATCTGCAAACTCCCCTAAAGCAAGCCAAATCGGGGCTAATCTCGGGTCGTTCCATTTCTCATTCCCTTCATCTCTCGCACCGAGTTTCAACCCAACGCCCCCCCCCCCCCCAGGAACCAGGCCTTTCCCCTTGGGGTCGGCCACCCCCCGGCAATTCGTCATCACCAGATGCGTCATCAGCGCGCAGCTGAAGGTCAACAAGGCCGCCAGGCACGAGGAGCGCAACGTCTGCACCAGGTTGTCCTGGCGCTTTGCCGGAGCCGCGCGCCTTTTCCTTCGAGCCCCTACCCGTTGTTGTTGGTTTTGGGGGTGAACCGAAAGATAAAATGGAGGTTCAGCGGGGGGGGGACCCAGTTGATTGTGTGGGCAATGGGCAAGACGGAAGGTCAAAACCGGTTGGGGGGTTGATACAACAGGGTCCCTGGGCCTTTCCAAATAGGTGTGCTTTGTGACATTCACCAAACACAGCTCCCAAAAGCCATGGTGTCAACAAGTACAAACCTGTGTTGCCCACAGGGTGCCCTAGATATCGCTGGGGGGAAACCTGGCGCCCAAAAAACCGACGCCTAGAGAGCCACCACAAAAGTTTTTTTTTTGGGGGGGGGCCTTCTCAAAATGGTGGATTTCTTTGGGTTGGTATTCAAGGGCGACCAAAAAAGAAAACCACCCCTAGGTGATCCATTTGAGAAACCCTCCATTCCTTGGCGGTGTCCATGAACCATTCCACCAGCGCATTGGTCTTCCCCACCGACACCGAGATGGGGATCCACGTGGCCGCGTCCAGCACCACCTCCGAGATATTAGGCGAGAATTTACGAGAGGAGTAAGCGCTCCCAGTCTTGCAGACGCTCCGCAGTCTTGCAGGCTGCGGACTGAAACCACAACAAGAAAAACCAAAAGCCGCGCATGGAGCGCGCCTCGTTTCTTTCTTTGTTGTTAATCATAGTTAATAATTGCTTAAACAAATGATGATTAAAAAGTATGTATGTTGTTGAGTGTCAATTGGTGTTAATCATTGTTCATCATTGTCAATCATTGTTAATCATTGTTAACCCTTTTATGGGGGAAAAAAGGAAGAAAACAACTTCGTCGACTTCGTTTGTTTCCCTCGGAACGCGGCCTGGAAGGAGAACTTCCGCGCCCAGGGGTTCCGCTGCACGTCCAGGATCCAATCCCGGCAGGACCACCCGAAGAGGCAGCAGGCGCCCAGGGAGAAGAAGAAGAGCAGGATCCCCGTCAGCACGCACTTGCCGTCCTCTCTCCGCCCCAAAAAGCGGGCGGGGGTTTTGGGTGGGGGGGGAAAGGGGGAAAGGAGAAGAGCCGTGCTTTTACGGGGGGGAGTGGCTGGGTCTTTCGTCCTGGGCGCCGGGGTGGAGGGGAAGGTGGAAAAAGAGAAAAAGACAAAACAGAAAAAAAAGGACATGATTTTGGGGGGGGGAGTGGCTTGGTCTTGTTTTTGGAGGTGCCCCGCGGTTTGGTGTTGTCCTCCCCAATTCGGGGCCACACAGAAAAAGAGTTGCGCCAGCTACTTTCACCTCGTCGAAACGCCTCGAGTCCTTGCTGCAAAAGGCAAAAGGCCCCCTGCTCGTGACTCGAATGCCGCCAATCGCCTTCCGACTCGTTTTTCTGCCTGTGCAGTAAAACTCCCTCCCAAAAAAAACGAACCAAACCAGAACATCTCGCCGCCCAGAGCTTCTTTTCTTTTCCCCCTCGAGCCGCTCGAAGCTTCGCGCATCGCAACCACCGATCCACCTCGCAACAACCGCAGCGAACTCGGCCCGAATCCCGAACCAAAAAACAAATCGCGCGTGCGAACCGACTGGAGCGACGCGCAAAAAGTTCGAATAGGGTAACCCCAAAATGGATCCCTGGCAAAATGGAAACATGGACCAAAACCTGCGGTCCAATTCCTGGTGGTGTAATTTTGACCCATACCCACATGGAACCCAAAAAAACACAGGTCGTTTAGAGGAATCCTCCTGTTGGGGGACTCTCTGTCCAGCTTCTATTTCAATCCAAACAGTCCTTGTGGCAGTGGGCGAACCAAAAGGAGGCCTGTTGCGGGTCTTGGCCCGTGAGCACCAGACCCAAGCAGTCCAGGCACAGGCGCACCACCTGAGTCGGCGAGAGGAGTCGCACGGCTGAAACCAAACGGAAGACCCAAGGAACCAACGGGAAACCCAAAGCAAACCTAGGATGTTTTAAGAGGTCAAGTGATTGACTTTGTTTTCCCTTGGGTCTCAACCTAGGTTTCCTAGCCTCGACCTACTGTGGATGGACGAAATCCTCTTAGGCACCACTTTGAAACCATGGGAAACCAGAACGGTTGTTGGTAGGGGAATCATCATTCTAGGGTTTCTTGGGTGGTGCAGGATTTCGTCCATCCACAGTAGGTCGAGGCTAGGTTGAAACCCAGGTTGAAACCCTCAGGAAAACAAAGTCAATCACGTGACCTCCTAAAACATCAAGTCCAAATTGGAGCAAGGGGGGCGGTTGGAGAGAAAGCAAATGGACAGCGGCTCATGTCGAAGGAAATTCATGAGAAACTTACACGGGTAAAGAAAGAACCATGGGCCAACGGATGCCTTCAAAAGCATGCCTTCAAAACCGAGCTGCCCTTTTTAAGATGTCCTGCTAAAGGTTGACAACTTTTAGTGGGCTAAGTGGAAATCCATCCACTGAGCCCTAAAAAGCTAAAGACTTAAGGGGATGGCTGGGAACCACCAAGAGAAGCAGGCCATCACGATACTCCGCTGCAGTTGGGGACCTCTGTGTTGGCTCCATTGCTGGCAGAATGTTTCAAAGCAGATTTGTGGGGTTGTTTGTGAGCCACGGTCACGACGTCTCTCCCAAATGGACCATAGACTAACGGATTGTTTGGCAGAATCGCACGTAGCCCGAGGCAAGAGAAAAAGGGGTGCCAGCGCGGGCGCGAGTTCGGACCTAAACCCAGTGGCGCATTTCCCCAAAAAAGAGAAGCGCTGGGTTTCAGTCCAGCGAGTGGTTCCACGTCCTTCTAGGGAACTAACGCCCTTTGCAAAGAGGAAAATGGCGAAGGGTTACCTGCTGTTTAGGTCACTGCGCTACCTTCGGGTGGTCAAAGACTGAGTCACGCTCATTGTCCTGGTATTGAAATGGCATACCCAAAAATCCACGTTTTCTGCAATGCAAAGCAAGAAAGGCGGCATCTATTTCTGGTTGGGACCGTGCCCTACAGTGGATGATCGCAATCCATTTCAGACCACCCAAGAAAGCCTTGAAGGATTCGATTCCTCTGTAAATACCAACAATCGCTATGGTTTCATTCCCGTGGTTCATTCCCTGGCGCGATTTCTGGATTTCGCAACCATCATATCAGTAAACCCATGCCTATGAATATGCGGGTGTCCGATCCTGGATGAAATGTGGTTGGAATCAGACCACTTTTGAAGGGGCCAAAAGCCACCCGCCCTATGAATAAACAGGTTGGTTGATTTAATATGGCAACCATCCACAGCAGGGACCTTAAGGAACCCTAGGAAACCCTCAGAAAACCCCAGGAATCCCGACAAAACCCGACAAAGCCCGAGAAAACCCGAGAAAACCCGAGCAAAACCCAAATTAACCCTAAGAAACCCAAGGAAAAACCCAAGAAACTATACGGAACACCCTAAGGAACGCGCAGCAAGCTTCGAACCGACCCCGCCGAGGCGCCACCGCCACGATCACCGTCGCGGCCATGCGCACGTAGGCCACCGAGGTGCGCCGCACCAGGCCGCACAAATCCCCCAACTCCTCCCGGCGCAACAAGACGTTGGGGTGGGGTGGGGGGGGGGGGGGGTAGGGTGGCGTGGTGAAGTGGGGTGGGTTGGGTTGGGGTGGGGGGAACCAAAAAGGGCACCTGTTTTGGCTTGTTCTGTAGTAAGATCTAGTTCATTCACACAGTTCTTGGAGAATCCGAAAATGGAGGTGGTTTTAGCCCGTGGGTGTGTTGGCTGGCTTGGGTTTCCCCTAACTTCCCCCTGTCTTGCCGTGCAACGCTGGTTTCGCTTTTGCTTCCCTTCAAAAAACCCAAGGAGAGCCCAAAGCCATTTGGGGGTGAGAAAAGAACGACTGGCGGAACGAATGGGGGATCAACCTGTGGGGTGTGTTCGCTCTACTTTCCCTTCAAACAACAAAAAGGGTACTACCCAGTTGGCTTTGTCTCTAAATGAGGGAACCCAAAGCGGGACCTGATGTACCGTTCGTTGTCCCTCAACCCAAAAACGGTGCCCTCACAAACTTGGAGCCCCGTTTCGAGCTCACTCCTCCTTGCCCCACAGCATGGCATCCTCGCTGGGTCAAGTCCGGTCGGGTAACCAGCAGCTCTGCGGGTCTTTCTCTGTCTGCCGCTGGCTGTCTCTAACTGTCTGTGGCCTGCCTGCCTGGCTTTTTAGGGGAAGCTTTGCGTCAGATTTGTGTGGTGTCTTCTTCAGCTGAGCGCCAGTGCAAGGCTCCCGTACAAAAGCCTGTCTCGTTGAATGTTGGGCTTGGAAAAAGGTTTTTGCGACATGTCAGAGGGTCCCTTGGTTCACAGAGTCACCTGTGTGAAATACGGAATCTGATATAAACCGCGGATCGTGCGCGCGCATCCATAGTCTCTCGTCAGGACCCCCGGATCATGGGGAGCTTCGATCCTACTGCGGCGAGAACGGCGGCGGGCGCGAGAAAAAATCGAGGGAGATGTCCCCCTTCTTGGTGAGCTGTTAGCTGCCCTTTCGAGTCACGGTCACTCAAGCGGATCTCATTTCGGGAGCGGCGAAAGACCCTGAGCCGGGATCCGGTTTGGGGCGATTTTTTTGGGCGAGCCCTTGCGATCCCATCGCTGTGCTTGTCAGCGTGTGTGTGTGTGCCACCTACGTTGACTGGGGGTTCTCCTTCAGACCGTTCTCCTCCACAAAAAGACCGGGTGATCTCCATCTTGGGCGGGCGGGGACCCGGATTTTGTACCATTGTGCCAACCCAAGGCCCGGGAGCATGTCTCCTCTCATGATCATTGTTTAGTGCCCAAAGACCCTTGTTGGGGAGTGGGGGCTGGGATTTTCGGGGAAGATTTGCCGGTTGGTCGGATTCACAAAGTCCATGTGGTTGACCCACATCAACCACCTGGTTGGGGTTCCGTAGGCGTGCTCTCAAAACAGCGCTCATGAGAAGGGCCCTGATTCTGACCGCATTTGAGTGTGTTAGACCCCCCGGAATTGCACCCCAGGCGTCGAACAAGGCAACCGCCGAACCGTCTGAAAACGATAGACTTTTAAGGAGCACAACATCTGCATGAACCACGGTAGATGAGCAAACTGGGTAAATCCCAGTAGAATACTGACAGGCTTGGATGACATTGGTGGTGACACATATTTCGGAACCAACTGGCAATCTGGGGTAACCCTTCAATGTGTGGGCACATCAGCAAATGTGGCTCCCTGGGTCACCTACTTTTGCCCCGACGCTTCGCTCGCACACACCTTCTTGCGTCGGTTGGGTATGAACCGACAAATTCAAACATCCCCCTACCTTGAGGAAGAGGGGGATGGCGTAGAGCTGCTGCTGCCCTTCTCAGTAATTACCGACTTCGCACAAGCTCTGCGCGACTGCCTGGTGGCCCTGCTGTGCGGAAAAATGCAATGGAGTGCAACCATCGTTGTCTGTCTTGTCTTTGGCAGCGTCGGCTTCCAGCAAGCACTGGGCAACTGCCTGATGTCCGTTCTGTGCAGCGAAATGCAATGGCGTGCAGCCATTGCTATCTGCTAGCGTCAGCATCCAACAAGCACTGCACGACTGCCTGATGGCCATGCTGTGAAGCAAAATGCAATGGAGTGCAACCATTGCTGTCTGCCTTGTCTTTGTCAGAGCCGGCTTCCAGCAAGCACTGCGCGACTGCCTGATGGCCATGCTGTGCAGCGAAATGCAATGGCGTGCAGCCATCGCTATCTGCTTTGTCCTTGTCAGCATCGGCATCCAATAAGCACTGCACGACTGCCTGATGGCCATGCTGTGCAGCGAAATGCAATGGCGTGCGACCGTTGCTATCTGCTTTATCCTTGTCAGCATCGGCATCCAACAAGCACTGCGCGACTGCCTGGTGGCCCTGCTGTGCGGAAAAATGCAATGGGGTGCAACCATTGTTGTTTACCTTGTCTTTGTCAGAGCCGGCTTCCAGCAAGCACTGCACGCTTGCAAGGCGGCCTTGGTAGGCAGCAAAATGCAATGGTGCCAAACCTTTGTTGTCTGCTTTGTCTCTGTCAGCACCGGCTTCTAGCAAGCACCGCGCCACTGCCTCACGGCCCTGCTCTGCAGCAAAATGCAATGGTGTGGTGCCATGGTTGTTAGCCAGGTCCTTGTCTGAGCCAACTTCGAGCAAGCACTGCACGACTGCCAGGTGGCCCTGCTGTGTAGCAAAATGCAACGGGGTGGCGCCAGTGTTGTCTGCCGTGTCCCTGTCAGCATCAGCATCCAGCAAGCACTGCAGGATTGCCAGGTTACCCTGATATGCAGCGAGATGCAATGGAGTGGCGCCGCTATTGTCTGCCTTGCCCTTCTCAGCGCCGGCTTTCAGCAGGCACTGCGCGACTGCCCGATGTCCATTCTGTGCAGCGAAATGCAATGGCGTGAAGCCATGGTTATCTGCTGTGTCCTTGTCAGCATCGGCATCCAACAAGCACTGCGCGACTGCCTGATGGCCCTCCTCTGCCGCAAGATGCAATGGTGTGCAACCATTGCTGTCTTTCCTGTCTGAGGCAGCACCAGCTTCCAGCAAGCATTGTGCAACTTCCAGATGAGCGTTTGAAGAAGCAACATGCAACGGTGTTTTGAGGCTACCCCTTTGAGCAGCATTGGGATCATGAGGCCCCTCCAGCAGTTCCAAGACAAGTTGCATATTGCCACTCCGAGCTGATTGAAGCAAGTCAGCGCACTGACCCTCTCCTTCTGAGTCTGCCACTGCCTCATACGCGCGCACAACTACTGTCAGGCACTCAGCATTCTCCCAAGGACTCTTAGGCCCTAGGTTGCCTAGGCCACTGGCTAAGGCAAGCTGTCTGAAGTTCGGCAAAAGCAACCTTTTGGCCAGGTGGAGCCGGAGCTCATCGAAAAAGCACCCACCGTTCTCCAGAGCATGCAGCTCGTCCCACCACTCGGAGAACTCTCTTGTCGACATTACCTCTGTGCCGTCCAGCAAGCAAACACACGCCATGAATGAGATGTGGCTGTGCGCGAGACGGGCCTCACAAAGGAGCCTCGTGCCTTGCAATGAAACTGTTCCACACATCCAAGGCGGGGCGTTCCACTATATTGGCTGTGGCTCAAAAAGCCAGTACCAACACGAAGCCCTGGTAAGTGGAAACAGGGACCAACACCTGCGTAACCCCTCCTGTTTAATTTTGAGGCACACCAATATCTTTGTTTCCACCTTTACTCTCTCAGCTCCTATCTTCGGCGAGGGTCATAGCCTTCCCACAAAGGGAAACGACTGTTTGCCGTGCAGGGAATTGGACTTTGGAGTAATCCGAACCGTGCTAATCTGGTGTCTGCCTGGCATGGACCGGGGGGACTCGTGAAGATGTCCGCCGCTTTTCCCTGAGCAATCAGCTGGCACTCTGTGGCTGCAAGCATGCTTCGCATGGCAGCCACAGCCATAGGCAAACCCAAGCTTGCGCCACTATGCGCACAAGAAAAGGATCTCATTTCACTTGGGAATAGCGGCAAAGGATATCATTTCACTCGGGAATAGCGGCAAAGGATATCATTTCACTCGGGAATAGCGGCAAATGTACCCGGGGTACACCAAGTCCTCGTTGAAAACGATAATCTCGCGGTATGTCCCCCGGATCTTCTCCCTGTCGCCCAGGATGCTGTGGAAACCCCCACTGACGCAGGACGCTTGCAACTCGTCGCCGTCGGGGCGCTTTTCCTGGGCCGGGCGGATCTGGAAGTGAACTTCTGGTTGGAAGGGAAGAAGGAACATGAAATAAAACCTAAGAAGGCAACAGAATAACACATGCATCAACCAAACAAACAACAACACCAAACCAAATCAACCAACCAACCAAACGAAACCCCAAACCAAAAAGAAAGGGCCACAAACAGGCTAGCCTTCTGACATAACTTGTTATTTCTGGAGGAGTCTAAAATATGAGAAAGAGAAGCAGGCCAGACCTTTGCGCCAGGCTACCGAATTATTTTTGAAAATGAATGGATGGTGTGTTAGCAGTTTGCCAGCGGTGGAGCTAGCGTGAAAAATCCGCCACGTGTTGCCAAACTCAGCTCTTGCTCGTTGTGCAGTGCTTTGAGCCTTGCTCGCAAATGGCAACTTTCCAGTACAAGTGCAGGGAGCAAAGTGCTCCTTGCCAGCTTCAGCACGACATGCCACTTTTCAGGACAAATGTACATGCAGCAGCTCCAGCTCGAAAGCCACCACCTTTCATTGCGCATCTGGTTTGTACGCAAAGTACACTTCTTTCCAACGAATCAGATGTCAGTCAACACCTGGCGCCGGGCACGCAGAGGTCCTATCACTGCCGTGCAGATTTGATGATATGGCTATGGGTCGAAGTTAAACCACCAGGGGACCACACGCTCCGTTTTCCTATTGTTGACCCAAATACAGTGCATGCCGCTAGAAGGAACAGATCCCAATCTTGGGAAGCAAAACTAAAGTCCCGTAGACTCGATTGCAGCTTGTCCTTGGCATATGATCCGGCAGGCCTTTTTCAACTTCATGGTGAGTGGTTGTCTAGTCTGTACAATGGGGCCCTATGAATTCTGATGAATGCTGGTCACGTCTGGGTCGCGTGCTTTCAGTAAAGTACAGCAAAGCTTATTCAAGAAACAGACTCGGTCGCCTCTGTCCATAAGAGCAGTGGCCTCCAGCAAAGAGGGCAACACGCAATGAGGTGACTTCAAAGCTGCGTGGCCTTGGTGCTAGCACCGGCTTCCAGCAAGCACTGCACAACACCCGCATGGCCTGAATATGCAGCCTCATGTAAAGCTGTGATGCCATTGTTGTCCGCCTTGCCTTTGTCAGCACCGGCTTCCAGCAAGCACTGCACGACCACCCTATTGCCTTGACGTGCGGCATGGTGCAATGGTGTTCCGCCCTTGCTGTCTGCTTTGTCTTTGTCAGCACACGCTTGCAGCAAGCACTGCACAACACCCGCATGGCCTGAATACGCAGCCTCATGCAAAGCTGTGATGCCATCTGTGTCCGCCTTGCCAATGTCAGCACCGGCTTCCAGAAAGCACTGCACAACCCCCCTATGGCCTTGATATGCAGCATGGTGCAATGGTGCTCCGCCATTGCTGTCTGCCTTGTCTTTGTCAGCACCAGCTTGCAACAAGCATTGCACAACACCCTCATGGCCTGAATATGCAGCCTCGTGTAAAGCTGTGATGCCATTGTTGTCCGTCTTGCCTTTGTCAGCACCCGCTTCCAGCAAGCACTGCACCATGCCCTCATGGCCGTGCCACGCAGCAAAATGTAGCGGTGTCCATAGGCTGTCCCTTTCAGCAGCATTGGGATCAAGAGGCTCCTCCAGCAGCTTCAGCACAAGTTGCATGTCGCCACTTTCAGCCGCCTGCAGCAAACCAACACTAGCCATATCCTCTTCTTCGTCTGCGGTTGCTTCGGCGTACGGCCGGACAATTGCCGTCAGGCATTCAGAATCCTTCCAAGGACTCTCCGGCCCAATGCTGCCTGAGCCACTGACCAATGCAAGCTGCCGGAAATTCGGCACAAGCAACCTTTTGGCCACCTGGCGCCGAAGCGCATCACAAAAGCACAAAATGCCCCGTACTCCCTGTAGCTCGTCCCACCACACGGAGAACTCTGCTGCCGTCATCACTTCTGTGCCATCTAGCGAGCGAACACACGCCATTCGATGTGGCTGCTTCCGAGCCGCAGTGCCTCACGCATTGATTGTGTGTCTGTGTGTCTGTGTCTGTGTCTTCTCTCTGTGTGTTTCTGTGTGTTTGGGTGCCTTCGTGCGTGTGTGTGTGTGTGTGTGTGTTTGTGTGGGTGTTTGTGTGTGTGTGTGTTTGTGTGTATGTTTGTGTGTGTGCTTGTGTATGTTGCTTCTGTGTGTGTGTGTGTGTTTGTGCTTGGGTGTGTGTGTGTGTGTGCGTGTGTTGTCTTGTGTGTGTGTACTTCTATGTGTTTGTGTGTGTGTGTATGTGTGTGTGTGTGTGTGTGTGTGTGTGTGTGTGTGTGTGTGTGTGTGTGTGTGTGTGTGTGTGTGTGTGTGTGTGTGTGTGTGTGTGTGTGTGTGTGTGTGTGTGTGTGTGTGTGTGTGTGTGTGTGTGTGTGTGTGTGTGTGTGTGTGTGTGTGTGTGTGTGTGTGTGTGTGTGTGTGTGTGTGTGTGTGTGTGTGTGTGTGTGTGTGTGTCTGTGTGTGTGTGTGTGTCTGTGTGTGTGTCTGTGTGTCTGTGTGTCTGTGTGTCTGTGTGTCTGTGTGCTTGTGTGTATTCTTGTGTGTGTGCTTGTGCGCGTTGTCTGTGTGATTGTGTGTCTGTGTCTGTGTGTGTGTGTGTCTGTTTGTGTACGTTTGTGTGTGTGTTTATGTGTGCGTTTGTGTGTGTCTGTTTGTGTGTTTGTGCGTGCGCGTGTGTTTGCGCGTT